GGGGGGCTCAAAGCGGACAATATCGTGCTACGGCGGAGCCGATCCCGGGATGTGACATCGACATAGGACTAGGAAACCATAAGTGATTAGATGACCACTCTAAGCGTTCAAATAGAATATAAACTCTTACATTCTCTCACTTGGTCAAATAATCACTAAAGTACTTATATCAATTACTGTAAGGCCTTGTAAAGCACAAACTAGCCATATTTTCTTACCAACCACTGTCAACAATGAACTGTGATAATGAGCTATGAAGACTAACCAGAAGAAAACTTATGGAGTTTTTACAATCACACTTATCACCTTTCAAAATTACATAAGGCTACTGTCAAGATTAAAACTTCAACATCAACATGATAAACTGGAAGTAATAGTAAAACCATGAGAAAGCTAAGATCATACTATCAAGCTCACCAGATAATTTTCATGATAGAATTTCCTTTGAGATTGATTCTTCATAGCCCCAACGCTTCTCAGCCAATGACCTATCTAGGATTCCGAACCCGGGTAGGCAACTTGCATACAAAACTTGACAAGAGCTTTTTTTTTGGGCCAATAACTTGACAAGAGCTTATAATAGTTCACTATGCCAAATCACCCTTCCTACCGTGGTATTACTCACATTTGCCTATAACATTACCTTTATATATTTACAACATCAGTTTTATAATAAACATCAATGCTAAAGTTCCTTATGTGTGCCAAAATAATGTTGACCGCTGATGCCTAAACATACAACGACATCAATAGTTTTAATAGTTCTGATGCTATATACGGTTTACAACATCATAATTTTATACTACACTAATGCATTTTCTGACTTACAACATCACAAATACCAATAGTGTTGATGCTACTATAAATCAATTGCCTTATGAGGGCGGTAGAACATTTCGTAATTACTAAAGGTCAGTGGTTAGTACTAGTTATTACTAAAAGTCAACCTTTAGTAATGGTTATTACCAAGGGAATAGTAAGAATTATTGATAAATAAATAAATATATATTACTATTAGAAGGGCGGCAGAACCGACACTTTCTCATTATATAAGTTATCATATTGTAGGCAATATAACTGTGCCACTATTCAAGATATTTTAAGATGGGTTTTAAAATCACACCACCATTTTTATTACAATAATATATGTTACAACGTGATGGGCAATGGAACTACACCACCATAAAATAATAGAATGGGGGATAATACCATGCCATTCCAAATTACAGTATGAAAAAATAAATTAAACAAACATGAATGAAACAACATAAAAGTTGTGACATACTAAAAAAAAAGTATGCATATCGTCGTAGTAGTAAAGTGAGAGTAGACATATGATGGAGAGGAGATAAAGAAATAACCACATAGTGTTTAGCTTGGAAAATTTAGGAGTAAAGAAGAGAGACCATCGTGCTGATAACGTGTTATAATATAGACGGAGTATGAAGTACCACTAAATATTGAAGTGGGATTGTATTTGCTCTTTGTGATATTACCCTGATAGAACTTTCAATCTTGGAAAAAACTTTCTAACTCCCTGATTTTTCTCTCACTTTTTCTCTTCTGATCGGTGTATCTTTCTCTCTTACTAAGACCTCCTTTTATAGGCGGAGACTAACAACATATTTCCCTATAGCAGTAAATGTTACAACCACTACCACATTTGCTGCACCTATCCGTAGGTACATGTAATAACCCAAACCCAAAATTAATATTTAATTATTAATTTATTTGGAAAAAAAAGACTAAAATACCCCTAGAATAATTTATTATTTTAAAAGTTGACTTTTTGACCGGGAAGGAATTTGAGGATTCCAGTTGTACCGTTGCGTAGAGCGCGACAAAACGAGTCCGTAGACTTGTAGTAGACTCAAATCGGAGTTGTAACGAAGGAGTTACAAGCAAAAGAAGTTCAGTAGCATAACCGTAAATATTTCGAAGTTCAGATTTTATAAACCCAGTTTTCTTCTCCTCCTCCAGTTCGACGAGCCGACTTTAGGAGAGGGTTTCTCTCAGCTCCGACCACCAAATTGAGCAAGACCAGTGCCAAACGAACCACCTCACTCCCCTCTTTCAGTTTTAACCCATCCCAGCCGTGATCCGCCGGTGTGGACGCCGGAAACCGCCACGAAACAGGGCGGTTTGGACAGTTTTTGATGGAATTTCACGGAGCTCGTTCGGACACCTCCGGCCACCAAATCGGACGAGTGAGGTGTGGATTTTTAGCTATTTTTCATGCTCTAGCTGCTGGTTGGGTAGGATTTCAGAAATTTCCAGCGTAGATAGCTCGATTTACGAGTTAGGTTTCAGCCGGTTTTCGAGTCACTGTTCCGGCCATTTCCGGCCACTTTTTGGGGTAGGTCCAAGAACAAAAGTGGTTCCAAATAGGGTGTTTTACCTAGGATAGGAGTCTTGAACCGAGATGTTGAGATTTTCCGGCGAGGCTTTATCGCTTTAGGCACCACGCGCTGCCAGCGCGTGTGGCGGCGCGTGGGCAGCAGGGTGGGGACCACAGTCAGTCCTAGAATGATCTCCCAGTCCTCACGAGCGCGTAGGTTTTCGCGGATCTTAATTCGGATAACGTTTGAACCCCGAACGGATCTCGCCTAGTATGTGATTTCCGGGTTCTATACGTTTGAACCGTTGGATCGTAGTCAATTTCAAGTATGTTGATCTAGGTATTTCCAGGATCGTATAGTATTTGACGGATCGTAAAACGGAGTCCCGGATACTCCAGAAATATCAGCCCTAGAGTATGTTTTACGGATAATTAAACCAGTTACAAAATAACGAACTAGTTGCAGGTCAAGAACAGAGGAAAGAACTATGTGTGGCTTGATCCCTCAGTAAGGGTACGTAGGCAGCCTACCGTTACCAGGCGCAACCACGAGTTAGGGCCTTAGGGTTTGTGTTATTGTTTTTCAGGGCCTTTTGATCATTTACGACCCACAGTTACTAGATGTCAGTTTTAAACAGGATTCGGCCCGAATTTCAAAGTGGAAATTGGGTCGGGTCGTTTTAGTTCACGTCTTCACCTTTCATTTCACCTCATACTTGTGGGCTCAACATCATTTACAACAGTTTTTTATTTTATTTATATAAGGGGAGAGTGTTTTTCACACACATACTAGCAATGTATTTATAAATCAATGCCTTTTTCCACCAGCATGACAGTTTGGACTATTTTATTTTATTTTATTCAAGGGGGGTGGGGGGAAAATAAACCCCAATAAACAACTACAAATTAGAAATGGGAATCTAACGAGAACGAGAGACCCCTAAGAGATCATCTACCAAAGCATCATTAGCCTACACAGGAGCATTATCAAAATAACAAATGCCTAAGTCCAAGTTGTAGCTCCACCTTGCAAGGTAGCCAGCAAGACAATTCTTTTCTATATATATATAGTGGCCCTACAAGGGGTATCCCTCAAATAAGCTTATTTGAGGGATCCCTCAATGGAAGCTCTCTGTATATATATATATATATATATATATATATTATGTAACTGATACTTCTCAAATTGCCTTAGAAGAGTGTAGCAATCCCACAGCAAACCAGCAAGTGGGTGAAACTGAGAGACATTAGTTTGTTGGATTAGCTGTACACCAAGAGCTGAATCCATTTCAATGATGAGCCTATTGATACCTTTATCCAAGCCATTATAAGACCAAAAAATAAACCCCATAGTTCAACTTCAATTATTTGGCCCTTTCCCAAGTTCACTGCAAACCCCTTAATCCATTCTCCAGCACAGCCACGAAGAATACTGCCATCACCAATATTCCCAGAGGTATGTTTACAAGAACCATCCACATTCAGTTTAACCACTCCAGTACCAGGAAATTCCCAAGTCAAAAAAAATTTGTAATTTCTCCCCAACTATATTACCACCACAAGGAACCTTAATCCATTCAGAAATAGCATATAAGATGATTTGCCTGGTGTTAGAAAGAGTAGTCTCATCAACATTAAAGATAGACTGGTTTCTCCATTTCCACAAGTACCAACAAATAAACACAAACACAGAGCACCAAGAAATACTCCCAGACCATCTATCCTTGGAAAGGATATTAGTCTTTAACCAAGGCTAGAAGTCAGTATAAAAGAAATTATTTCGTTGGTGGGGATGCAAGAAGTATCACCAAATCTCTTTGGATCTTGGACTAACTCTCTGCTTCATTTTGGAAGTGGTAATTCTTAAGTAGGGATGGCAATAGGTCGGGTAGGGGCCGGGTATGACAATACCATCCCTGTCTCCGCCCCCGTCCCTGAACCCATCCCCGTTTAATAGGTTTCGGGGAATCCCCATCCCTATCCCCCATACCTGCCTGGAATCCCTGATTTTTTTGCATTAAAAAAAAAATTTATCATACATTTTAACATTAAGTTTCATATTAATTTATCATTTAACACATCCAAATTAACTATAAAGTTCAACTCAACTATTCAAAATTACTTCAATATGAAATTCCAAATAAGATTGTGAAGAATTAAGAGAGGGAGGTTAACTTAGAGTTAAACATATATATTTTCGGGTCGGGTTCGGAAATGGGGACGCCAATATCATCCCCTCCCCATACCCGTCGGGGATTTTTTAAGTTCGAGGATCCCCGTACCCGATACCCATTTGGCCCCGAAATCTCCCCCCGCCCCCACGGGAATTTTTGTCATCCCTATTCTTAAGCCCACTATTTTGGGTCTCCATGGGCCAATTAGTTTGGGCTTTTTAGACCCATGGATATCTGTTGAATAATGTTGGTTTAATTAATCACAAAGGGCTCCCCAGTGGGCGCTCACAATATGACTAACAGGTATGGCATCATTATCAAATACCAACCAAGCCAATGACTTGATGCCCACTGGGTTTGAATTGAAGCCTAAGGGATTCTTGTCAATGCATTATGAATTTACCACTGTCTTGTTCTCAAGTGAAGTCCTTTAATAAAATTCCCCCCTGCTTCATTAGTAGCAACTTAAGGAGAAGAAGATCGTGGATATGGAAAGCAACCATACCATGCTGAAGCAAAAGCTAGGATTCTCTGATACACTCAAACAAGCCCTAAGTTTAATCTACAACACTAACTACTTTATTCTACTCACCTTTCTCTCCTCTCTACCTCTCTTCTGCTTCTCAGTTTACTATGAGCTATTGCTCCAAAGAACCCTGGTTCAAATCTCAGAATTTGTAAGGCAACAACACCCTAGTAACTACCACCACAACTGGCAAACACTGCTCCATACGGCCGCCCGAATGACCGATAAATTTCCCAACAACTTGATTCAACTGGGATTTCTTTATGTGGTGCCTCTTCATCTCCTAGAGCTCTGCACTGCTTTTGTCACAGTCAATTTAGCATCAACGACACTCGCAGAAGGAAAAAAAACAGCATCCAAAGCCAATTTTAGAGGCACTCTTGTCACATCCATCTGGGTTCTTTTCTTCTCAACTTGCACTCTACTTGGATCAGTATGGTTAGCATCAATCTACTATGTTATATTGAACAACTTGGGGTACAATTGTAAGCTGTATTTTGGAGTGTTATATAGGGCAGCTTGTATGGCACTGCTGGCAAAGTACTTAGAATGGAGGTCTATATGGAACATGGCCATAGTGGTTTCAATATTGGAGGATGCAAATGGAGCTAATGCATTGATACTATCTGCTCATCTAAGCAGAGGCAACGAGCGGCAAGGGCTTCTCATAACGCTTGTTTTCTCTGTTTGGGGGCTTGCTTTAAGGTGGTCAGGGCTCTATTTTGAATGCTATGAAAGAGGAAATGGGATTTTTGCTCAAGTTGGGCTTTTCTGCATGGTTAATGTGATGAAGTGGGTCGTCTATATGGTTTATTTTGACAACTGCAAAAAGCGGATTTTGAAGAAGAAAGTTGACATGGAAATGGGAAAAGTTGAGAGGAGTGATCTGAGAACAGAGAAAACACAACCTGCTGATAATAATAGTTCAGATTGTAGAACAAAACTAGAAACAGAGTAGGTTCCTAGAGGCGTTGCAAGCTTCATACATGCTCTTCTTCTCTTATCTCTGTGTTCAGGGCCTGTTATATAAACCACAGGTTTACAGGAAAACATGTGCGAACATTAAATGGAGGCAAAACTAGCTTGCTTATATTACTATCTTTGTAACTATCCATAAAGGAAAGACGATCTTTGAAAGCATCGTTGATGTCACTAAAGCTCTAACAATCCCAATTGGGACAAACTCTAGAACAGCAATTTAAATATCAATTATTCCAAGGTTCATTGCTCTGGAAAAACTATTTCAACTAGGCCAAAAGCAGGTACTCAGCAATAGCCAATCTGCTCGTTGGATGCTATTGAAAATTTTCCTCCTCAATTTGCTTTTGCATCAATCACCTTCTTTGCAAAAGATGGTAGACAGAAAGCAGCTGTGTGAATCTGAAAATGAGAGAAATAATTAAATCGAACAGAAAAAAAGGGAATAATATTGAGCTCAACCCAAACAAAAAAAAAAAAAAAAAAAAAAAAAAAAAAAAAAAAACGTCACACTTGTAAAATTGTAAATGGTCTTGATTTTTGATTGTCATTTGTCATTTCAATTGGATTCACAGGGTGCTTAAAATCCACAGCAGGTCCCTCGGTAGAACAAAGCATAAAACCAATCACCCCACTGAAGAAGTAAAAAGTAATATCAGCAGAAAAGACAGGAACATGTCTAATCAGACTAATCACAGACCAAGTCACCAACAGAAAAATAATTAACACTCTACTTTGTACAACACGATGCCAACTTGTCATACTGGAAGACAATCAAATAATGGATGGCCGTGTAAGTGATGGAGTTACCACTTGCAGCAAAAAGAACATAAAAAATTAAACTAATTTCAAAAGTAAAAGAACAAAGAAAGCTAAATTCAGAAAAATATGGTGGTCTCTAAGTCACATGTTGCACTTCAGAAACCGTTAGTTATGATAATTTACCACCTAGTACATTGCAAAATGAGAAAATGCCACTATTAAACTTGTTATAAACACAAACGTGCAACCATGCAGACACATCCTTGTGGACCTGTGTATGCGTGTGTATGAGGGAGAGGATGTAAAAGAGACTCAGAAAAGTGTATGCCTTGGATATGTAGGAACTGTAGTCCATGCATAGTTGACGGAGCCTTTAAATATCTGGCGACAGTTGGCCACAATATCCTCAATGATGTGCATGTGAAGCCAAATACTCTCTGCCTGAGTACACACGACTCCTCCTGGACGAAGAGCATTTGCTACCGTCTGAAAAAAGGGCTTCTCAAAAAGCTCTTGTGCAGGACCTAATAGAAAACAAACATCAAAACCAGTAAACTCACACATAATTCTCAGGTTCCTATTGGGAGCATGATGCATGTCATTTCTCATTAATACCTATTGGGTCAGAAGAGTCCACTATTACTGCATCATAAGTTCCTGCAGGAACAGCCTTCAAAAATGCAACTCCTACAATATCGAAAGAAAGCTTATGAGGATGCCATTTGCAAGAAGCGAAAAGAAAAGGCAAGAAAAACAGAAGAGGAACAAGCTGATCTTACCATCACCAACATGAAGTGTGACTCGTGGGTCCTCATATCCAACAGCTACAGCAGGGAAAAACTGCTTAGACACCTGGAATGGAGTAGGAAGAATCAACCCTTTATCATTTCATCCGATATTATTCAGAAGTCTTTAGTCCATTTGTGCATGTCAAATAAGAACCGCATAAAAACATGCATGTTCCAACCACATTGAATTCATTCTAGTATGATGTATTAGCTACCTTGAATAATTGATACAATAAAACCCAAGCAGAACAGACCCAAAGATATGATTGATATTACTTACATCAACCACCATCTTGTCAATCTCACATATATCTATCTGCTCAATAGAAGAATAGCGAGCCACTTCCCGCAGAACTCCACCATCTCCTCCACCGATAACCAAAACCTAAAGAATACCAATTTGGAAAGATAATTAAAGAACAACAAATCATAAAGAACAAAACTACTGTACTTCACAAATCATGTTCTTAACAAAGGTTTGTGAACAATAAAAACAGGGGACTGTCATGTCTGTGGATACATAACTTTTTGTATTATGAAAAATTTCAAATCAGATTTCTAGTTAATGATTTAGCTTAAAAATAATAATATTAACCTTCGTTGGGTTTGGAATTGAGCAGAGGGGAAGATGAGTAATCATTTCTTGATAGGCACATTCATCCCTTTCGGTTAGCTGAATCACCCCATCCAATACAAGAACCTTTCCATATGTTGATGACTGTAAGAAGAAATCATAGCATCAATTAAGATAATTTCTTTCTTTTCTCAATAGAAATAGATACTGGTTTAAAGTAACACTAACATCTTCTGAGAAATGTCAAATACCTGGAAGACCATCACATCCTGATAGTCAGACTTCCCTTGAAATAGAATCTTCTCTATCTTCAAGGAATGTGCCTCTCCTGCATAATATCATGTATAAATCAATTTCCACTAAGTATACAGCCTAGTTCTATAATCAGGCTGTCTACCAAACAATGGGAAGCTGCAATAACCAAACAACAAAGACTGAAAACATTCTTGTTTTCATTTGGACAGCACATCAAGGAAAAGCAACAAAACCAACTATTAATCTTATGCTTCAAACATACAGTGCTTACAGGCAACACTATACACATTATTACTCCCACAAACATAAATTATTCATTAAAGTAAAACTGCTGGTATCGTAACATGAAACCATATAATATCAACAGATCGAACTTCCAAGTGACCCAGTACCACTAGACATTTCAGCCTCAAGCAGTATGCATTGCGGTCCACACTTGATGACATACAAGAAAGCGGAGGAGGTTCCTCACTAACAATTATCACGTGGCATAGTCTTGGGTTTGGAATTTCAAAGAAGCTCATGGGAAACACAGCTTTTCATGGGAAAGAAACTCATAAACAACACTGAAAAATTGCAAATTGACATGAAATCCTAAGGTAGCTCTGGAGAAAGAAAGCCATAATAAACTATGGAGACAAGACAAGCAACATGAACTGATATATGTGGTCCAAAATCTAATGAAAATGGAATAATGCAAGCATGTCACAGATAGCACACTACATGTATTCCCATATAATTTGCACAATTTATTATTTCAATCCAAACTGTTAATTCTGTACAAGAACTTGTTCCCATATAAATTACATAATCTATTAGTTTCATTCTAAACTGTTAATTCTGTACAAGAACTTGTTCCCATATAAATTACATAATCTATTAGTTTCATTCTAAACTGTTACTCTGTACAAAAAACAAATCACAGGATTTCATTAGCAAGCATTAACCAACAACAGCCATACACATAAAGATTTTTATTTTAAAAAAAACCCAACAACGAGTTCATAACATTCCTTGCTACAAATACATTATTTGGACGACTTCGCAACTTTCCCACAATTTCTGAGCTGCCAAACACATGTCATAGCGAGAGGAAAACAAAAAGATGGGTTAAGTAATAGAAAACCAACCTGGCCACATTGGGCTAATCTCTGAAAACCACCCAGGAATAACAGCAGAAACACCATCAGCCTCTTTGCCAGTATCAGTCTCCACGGACACGGTTGAGGCCGCATAGACTCCGTTCTCTTCTTCCTCTCTGGACCTCTTCAATGGAAAATCAGCAGACCCCGCCACAATCTCTTCCGCCATAGCCAAACACTGAAGAAATGGAACCAAAAAAACCTAAAGAGACGATATGAATGACTGGGCCGCGAGCGAGCAAGCGGTTTAAAGACTCAGAGACAGAGACCACACAGTCTCGGCGTTGCTCGCTTTATACAAAAATTCCAGGAATATTATTATTGTTATTAATTCTCATTAATTATATTCACTAATTAAATATTATGAAATAAAGGTTGGTAATTAATTTGGTGAGGCACAAAAAGAATCTGATTGCTGCCTCTGCTTACTAGTGACGCTTTTGTTTGGCATTTGCTTTTTCCTTCTTACTTTCCGACTTTCCCCTTGTGACTGACTTTGATTCAACTATTATTATAACAATATAATTTTATTGTAATTTAATTATTTTTTGGAAGTACAGTATAAAATGATAAGGTTCTCAATTAGGGTTTCCTCAATTTGGCTTTTGTTTTTGTTGGATTTGGATACAAACAAATATTCCAAAATATCATATCTTCGCTGTGCTTGATTCTAGGGCCAATAAGTGCCCTTCCTTTATGGGTATTTTACATATCTCGCCACTGATGTGTCAGTTATTCCTTTCGGGGGTGTTTTTTTCTTTATTTATATTCGTATAATTTGATGTGGTCGGTGGCTTTGGTGTGATTGAGGGGGTAGTATTTTCCTTTAGCTAACGGGGAACAAGCCGCATTAAGAGTGGGGCAGCGAAATCCAGTGGGATTAGAAATTAGAGATTTTCCTAACTTGTGAATTATGGTTCATTCACTAATCAACTTTAGTCACAATGGATTGTGAATCGTTTGATGTGTGATTATTAGGATGGCTTGAGACATAAAACTATAATACACGAGCATGAGGATCATAAAAAACATAGGGGTACAAGAGTAATTGTGTACTTGTACGCCCCGCAATTTAAGAAAAAATTCGGAATTTGGAATACGTTAAAGTGGAAACGGAATACATTCCCCATTAATCTAAATATTACTAAAACAAATCATCATAAAATGGTATTTGGGGATTAAGATTAAATTGAGACTTTTGGCAGGTGTGTGAAGTAGAAAATGGTATATATAGCATATAGACATGTGAATGAATCGGACTTTTATATGAATTCGGTGTAATTAATAGGAGATGGATTGGACTTCTCAATTTGTGAATCCGATTACAATATGAATTCGATAATCCAATTATAAATGGATTTGGATATCGATTATAGTTGATCCGATTCGATAATAATCCAATCCGACTTAATATGGAGTATAATTTAGTTTTTCTATGCCTTATATTAATATTTTATATGTGTAAATGAATCAATTTAATTTTATATGCATTAAAAATACATTTAAAACTAATTTTTATGATAAAATATCAAATTTTGATATAAAAAGTAGATAAATACAATAAAAGATCGAGGCTACTACTGAAATTTTGATTTTGTGCACATATCAAAATAAATCCAATTCAATGCGTAATAAATATGAATTGATAGGTGCAATTTGACAGTTCGAATATGATAATATGATTATAAAGATATTAGGATTTAAACTGAGGTATATCCAATCCAAATTTCATCCGTTTACAGATCTAATGAATAAAGTGAATTGCCTCGTGTGCAATATAAGCCATGCATGTTGGAGACTAGGAACAAAATTAAAAAAATTCCTCTTTTCGTGGAGCAAACAATGAGCATCATATAGCTGATTCCGATCAGCCCACATGGCAATTATGAGTGTGAACACATCGTTTGGTAATGATAAATTGTGGGCGATTGCTTGCTTTCATTTTAAGATAGACGACAATGATGCTCAAAGGACCAACTTTTGCCCAAATATTTTGGGAGCTTTTCTTCGATAGAGCAACAGTGGGATTACACTATGCCTTGGCTGGTCTGCCATGCAGCCATGCACGCATGGTTTTTGTGTCAACTTTGGGTCATGAATCTCAATGATGTCAAATTGCCTTGTATCTTGTGTCCGAAAACATTGGATATTGGCAAAGTCTCATCTCTCTATAATCATTTCACAAAGTTCTTTTTTATATATATGTTTTCTCAAAGCGATATTTTAAACTATTCTGATTCATAAAAAAGGAGACTAAACGGGAGTGTGCGGGAATAGACGCTTGAAACCCAACTTGTTTTTGTAGCCCAAGAGCATTGTCATCGAGAACTGATTGGGCCTGTTGGGCCAAAGAATGGGCTCTACCGAACCAATTCATCAGCTTTAATATAAGTTGGTGTTCAGGGCTGGCTCATGGTTGTCAAAGCTGGACAAGAGACAAAGTATGGTCTGTGATCCTTTGATTCCTGGGAGGCTGGAACTGGGAGCAAGTTTAAATTTATTTATTTCTAATATGTCCTAATTTATTCCTATCACATGATAAAATAATATGAATGGCATTCACCTGTTAGGTTTTGTATTTTGTTTTAAGGCGATTGAAATGCTGATAAAATAATACATCCATCATCTCATTCAAGCACAGAAAATAAGACAAGAAAGTGTACCGAGTAGGTATGGTAGCAAAAAATAATAATTAAAAACCATACTGAGATTTTTTTATTTTATTTTTCTCTTTTGACAATTATTTGGCGCCATTCACAATAGTGATCAGGATTTGGTGTATATTATTTTAATCATATTAGACCATCTCCAATTATGTTATGGTTAAATTTAAAATTTCACATTCTAAAATACAACTATTCATGTATTGTATAGACTCAAATTGTTTTTTTCTCCAACCATGCATACTCAAATTGTTGACTCCGCAACTTTATTAAATTGTTTAAAAATGGTTAACCTCCAATTTTCTTTTGTCGTTAATTTTTCTTGACATTATTCTTGTTTTAAGATTTGTGATTTAATTTTATGAACATTTTAACCTAAACAAATTTAAATTCCAAAATATAATATAATTTCACTTAAAATAAAAACAAACAACAACATTTTATTTCATAGACTTGGAAGTAAAAACAAGTACCACGCGACTTATATTAAAAATAAATGCAACAATATGACTTATTTGGTTAGTTGCAATGCGGTCACAACATCTACATCATCCCAATCTACAGCCCCTAGAGCTACTACTTTTGCGTAAGCCCAGAATAATTTGAACCTTTTATTGAAGCCATCACCATAACTCCCTTCCATTTTTTCTTTATACTCTTCCGGTGTTAAATGAATTGTGTCATTATCATGCTTATGAACTATAGATTTCCCTTTGATGATTTTGGTGTTGAACTTTGGATATAGCTTATGGCATCGAATTTCTGAACTTTGAATGAAGTAGGTCTCTAGAAACACTTGTTCAATGCATTTCTTGATTATTACAGGAGGTGGAGGTGGATAGCATATAGGATGGGGGCATCTCCAATCAAATGTATGATGCTCCCTTCGATTGCTAGGTTCCATTGGTGTGGTTGATTAGGTTGCATATGAAGTAAATATTTATAGACAAATGGATGGGTACCTACATTTTTTACTTTTACTTTTACTTCATCGGATTCTTTTATCCTCCTTCAATAATGTTTTGAACCCTTGTCCACCTCCACTTGTCTTCTTCAATTATTTTTTGAACCATTTCCCATCTCATATTGTCTTGTTTCAATCATATTCTGAAAGTTTATCTTTGTCCATCTCACTTTATTGGATTCCCCTATCTTTCCTTATCTCATATTGTCTTTTTCAATCATGTACTGAACCATTACTTATCTTTATCTATCTCGCTTTATTGGATTTTCTTATCTTTCATTATCTATTCCTATCTTCATTCAATTATGATCAGACATGTAGGCCATTTCGTTTTGACATATTGCTATTTTTTCATATCTTCCTTCTTATCCTCTCATCTTCCTTTCAAACCTCATCCTTTTGTCTATTTAAGAGGAGGTATTCTACCCAACCAAGCACACAATCTTCTTCAGTCCCATTTTATATCTTACAATGAATTCATGTGGGAAGGCTATACAAAATTTATTCAATGATGATTCTAAGGCTGACCATCATCAACAAAGGGTTGCAATGGTCGTTCAACACCATACGTTTCTATTGGAGTAGTATGCTCAACAATCCCAACCTGGTGGTTCCGTTGTTGGTCGTAAGTATAAGAATCGAAAGAGTGAAAAGCATTATCAGAATCTCATGGAGGACTACTTCTGCGAAAGATCACTATTTTCCCTAGTGGACTTTCGCAGGAGGTTCCGCATGCAGATAGAGCTTTTCTATCGCATCTTGAATGATGTTGCACATGAGCCATACGTTTCCATGAAGATAGACGCTTATGGATGGCAAAGTATATCCCAGGGCAGAAGATGACAGCCGTTTTCAGAATGCTTGCATATGGATGTTCGGCAGACTCCACCAACGAGTACTGTAGATTGGGTGAATATACAACCCTTGAATGTTTGCTGAAGTTTTGTTTTATAATTGAAGCCTTGTATAGCTAGTCGTACCTACGTTCACCAAATTTAGCTAACATTTACAAGCTCTTGCACAATGCTAGTCGCAGAGGATTCCCATGCATGAAGTGGCTCCTTATCTTGTTGGACTTGATAGGCTTGTTGAGATTTGGTAAGTTTGTTTTGCTCTTCTAGGAGCTCTAGCTTTCGCCCCTATCCTCTTTTAACTCATTTCTTTGTTGAACCAACTCAGACAAGAACTTTCCACTTTGGTTGAGATTCCCTTCAATACTTTTCCCTTTATTTTGTGCAACCTTATGTTTATCTCGTCCGAGTTGCTTCGAAGTGGGCATGACCACATCATCATCATCTTCTTCCAAATTGACTGTATGGCCACTATGGGAAGAATCTCTGGGTGTTGGTGTGGGAGCTTGATTTTGGTTGTTCCACTTTTTGCAATCTTTTAAGATTTGCCAAGCATGATCCAACTTGAAAGGCCTATTGATAACTCTATTATCATTATAAAAAAAATAAAAATATTTGCATGCAAGTCCTAAGCACAAGTTAAAAGAACTAATAAGTTACGACAAGAAAAAAAAATCACAATATGAACATTAAAAGTCAAATAAAATTTGTACTAACCAAGTCCCTTAGATTGGACCCACTTAAAGGGCTTGCATTGGCCTTAATCAAACAAGCCTTCCAAAGAGAAGATTGTTGGTTGATGATCTTGAATCGAGAAGCAATGGCTTGCGGTGTTCGAGCCTCCGATCTATCACTGGCCTCCATATTCTCTAAAACAAATTCTGGTGCACCCTTTCCCAAAATGTGTTGTTTGGTTGATTCATGCCAATCACCCCATCTTCAGAGATACATACCCACCCTTTGCATAATGCCTTATCTTCTTCTGGTTTCCAATTGATACCTCTTTAGGATTTTGGGGCCATATTGAACAACAAAGAAACTCAAATGAAAACAATTAGGAAAGTGAAGAAAGGTAAGAAATTGAATTTGGTGTATTATTTAACAAATAGATTTCTATTTATAGAGTTTGGAATGAGTTTTGAGGTTGGATCTGATTTAGATATACTTAAAATATTATTTTGAGCGTTGAATTTTTTTTTCCGTTGAAATCACCTTGAGAAAATCACAGCCATTGATCAAAAGTAGCCGTTGGGTTTGAATGAAAAAAAGAAAAGGAAAATCAGCTTCAAATGTAGTCGTTGGTCAAAATTATCAATCCAGACAATTCATTAGGCACTATATAACCCAATAAATTAACTGGGCAAGCTTTTAGCCCCCAATAAATACATCGGTTGGAGATGGTTTTGGGCTTAAAACTCAAAAATTTGACATTCCAACCCTTGGGTTGGAGATGATATTACCTGCAAAATGATATGGAGTTCTGTTTTTGCTACCCACTTGTGTGTGGGATGCCCCAATTAGGTCAACAGGATATGGCGTGCTTAATGTAACCTCACACACTAAATAGTGGTGAACGGATAAGACGGATTTTTGGTTTCTTGTTCTTACTTTATACAATACGATTACCTAATGTGATTAGAAATAGGGAGTTACTTTTCTCACTCATCTTTTCTCCATTTACACTTATTTTTGCTTTTTAATACTTTTTAATAATTTTTTTTCATTCTCTTTCCTATCCTACCCTTACCCTACATTAATTTCTTGGGGGTAATTACATTTTTGGTCAATGCGATTAGGTCCAAATTTAAATTTGGTTACCGAAATTTCAATTTTCCGAAATTCGTCACTGTACTTGCAATCGTTAACAAATCAAGTCAAAGATATTAATTTTGTTAGTTATGTCCAAAATATAAATATAAATAAAAACCAACAATGAGAAAAGGCTGACAGGAAAAAAAAAACCCAACATTTGTCCAAAAAGAAATTCTAGAAACCACCTATACCGTCCACCACCAAAACCCACCTATACCAGCTAGACACCACCACCACCATCAAACATGCGAGCTTAACCACCACCACCACCACGAGTCCATGACCGTCATACCACCATCATCAAACCCATAACCAGCCACCACAGACCCAATCGAACCATCATCACCACCTAATTAGTCAATCAAACCATCACCACCGCCCATAACTAGCCACTACATACCCAACTTTACCACCACACCACCTAGTTGAACCACCACAACCATTAATTAGTGGAACCAAAGAGAGGGGGGTGGGTGTTTGTAGCCACTACATACCCAGAAATGGATCTGGCTCTCTTAAAAGTTGGGGTGCGGCATGAAGAGAGTGTGAAAATGAGGGAAGGAAAAAGAAAATAGAAAGGAAAGAATTGGAAGAAAGAAAGAAAAAAAGAAGGGACGACCTAGGAAGGAAGAAGAAAAAAGGAAGGAAAAAATAGACATGGGCCAAGAAGGAAAGGAAAAAGAAAAGACGAAGGAGATAAGAGGAAGGAAGGAAGAAAAAGGAGAAAAAGAGATAAGATTGTTTTAGTCTTTAAAAAATATTAGAATTTAATTGTTTTATTTTTAGGTCAAACTCCTTAATTAAATATTAGAATTTTATTTATTTATAATTAATATTAATTTTTTAGTCCGACACTACACCAAAAATAGATTTTCACTATTTTTACAATCCAGCTTCTTAGTCCAACACAACACCAAACGTAGGTTAGTATTTAATCTAGCTTAGGCTAATATGAGCTAATCCAAGATAGTCCCAAGATTTAATCTAGTCTAAGACAATTCGCCGTACCAAACGACCCCAAGAAATTCTCCCGATACCCTTCTCCCCTTCTCTCTTCCCTTAAACCCCGACAACACTCTCTCTCTCTCTCTCTCTCTCTCTCGTCTCTCTCTCTCTCTCTCTCTCTCTCTCAGCTTTGATTGCAATAATGTTTGAATTCATTAGCTAATCAAATGGTAGGTTCAAACTTCAATTTCATTGTGCTTGGTTTCTAGTGGTGATGAGATTTTACAATTTCATTGTGTTTGTGTAATGTTCAAGATTGATATTGAGGAAGTTGTTTCATTGTCCTGGGTTGAGATTTGAAGCTTTATTAATTTAGTATGGGTTTTCAAAGGGCGAATTCTGTGAAATGAGTAGTTTCATTGATAAATTGTCGGGTAAATGTCAAAGTTTCTCTGCAAGGGATTTTTGGAGAGAGAAAGGGTGTGAAATTCATTCCATAAACTAATCTTTCTTGATGTGGTCAAAAAACACATGTGAAATGAAGATAAATCCATCCATCCACTTCAAAAACCCACAAGAAAGAAGACTAATTAATTAACAAACTAAGTTGAAAAATTAAGTATAAAGAAGAAGAAATTAATGTAGAGTAATGGTAGAATAGGAAAGAGAAATAACAATAAGGAAAATTTGATTAAAAGTATTAAAAAAACAAAAGGATAGCGTGAGTGAAGAAAATGGGAATGGAAAAATCAGAAATATTGTTAAAAAAAGTGATTAGAAGAATTGAAACACGTGATTTACTCAAACTCACCAACCCATATATAATATGATTATTAGAAAGAACAAAATATTGCTCATGGCTCAATAATTACTCATTATTCAACCAGGAAAAACAACAGACTCATTATTCAACCAGGGAAAAAAAATTACTCATTAACTACTCATTATTCATTAATAATGATGACATTTTCAGTTTCATTGTTCATAAGTACGTGTCCTTATAACATTCGAACTTATCCAAGGGAAGGAACCAAAAGATTTTCAGACTTATCATCTAAAATGCTTATCCAAGCAATTTTGATTTTTCCAAAGCTGGTCAGGCATAGAGACGTCATGCAAGAATTATTGGTCCACAAAGAAAGAAGAAAGCCAAAATGTCAGCTTTTTTTGGGGGTCATTTTAACTCCAAATCACTGTTCTCCCCTTTTGGGAGCTCATAGGATGTAGGTGGGTGTGGTGGGGATCATGATTCACGAGCCAATAGCAGCGCACAATATTGTCTGCTAGAAAAAGATACCAAATATTACGCCAGTAAATAAAGTCTGCAGTTTGCTAAATGCTAACACCTATCTTTGTGGAAGGCCACCAACTGATATTTGCATTTGTTGTATTTAGGGGTATACATATTTTTCAACTTTGAACCAGTCACCGACCCACCTAGAGAGCTAGATATAAGTGGCGCACTGTAACTACTGTTCTTTTCTTGTGTATCATGGCGTCTCGGAGGGTCTCTTCGGTTCTGTCTCGTTCATTCACTTCTGCTTCTCTGTTTTCTGCAGGTACTGCCAACCCAATTCTTTTTCTTTTTTTTTTTTTTTTTTTTGGGTTTTTTTTGTTTGGATCCCATGGACTTAAGGATTATAATCAGATTGGTTTTGTGACTGCATTTTATAGTGATCGTCTGCTGCCCTGTTTGTTTGGTGAGAAAAATGTAGAATCAAGATTGAGTCTTTTCTGTTGTTGCTGCAAAATATACGAAACCCATATCGACTTTAAAAGCATACAACTGAATTTTCTTGTATTCCTGAGTTTTCTCATCATCTGGATTGAGGTGTCCGAGAAAAGTCTTGATTTTTAATTCAGTGAACTCTTATTTCCCCCTTCTGGTTGGATCAAAATTTCCTTATTTGGATAAAGAAACACTTGGATGCAAAAGCTCAGTGGTTTTGCATAACATAGATTACGTAATTGAATTTTAGAGAGTGAGATGAATGTTTCTTTGATCTCTCATTTTGGTGCACGTCTTTAAAAACCGATCCCACCACTGGCTTGTTCGTTTGCGATATCTGTATATGTCTGAAGGTGACATAATGTTGTGACGGTCCCAACCTGCTTTGCTTGTTTTTTAGGGTACCCCGGATATTTAAGAGAAATATTACATTAGTCAAAATAAATCTCAAAAGATGCTATAACAACTAGAAAAATATCATGTCATTTATCACATTATCTGGGGATCAAAATTTGAAAGAACTTTCCAGAATGTTGTCAAAAAGGAGATACTAATATTCAGGAATGACTATCATCCTGGACATTTCTTTAACTTTACTCTGAATAAGAAAAATTCATTCCATGTAATGACATTGAAAATCAATATGCCTTCCTCCCTTGCTCCTTTTTGGATTGGTTTTTGACATTTTTATGTTTACCCTGCTTGTATTTCACTCCTTGGCTGATTTTGTTTTTATCAGGGAGGTCTTCTTCTGTGGCTAGAGGAATTGGTAAATATAGCACTGATGCTTCATTTGAGGCACCAATCATTCCATCGGTTAAAGTAAATTATACTCAGCTTCTAATTAATGGACAATTTGTAGATGCAGCATCAGGTGAGTTTTCCGTCAATAGAGCGACACAGTTGTTTGAGTTTCTCAACTTTGGAGCAATCCGCATGTTTATTAATAATTTTCCTTCAGGTTAGACTTTTCTGGTTCTTTTGTGTGACGCTTACTTTGGTCTCAGGGAAAACTTTTCCCACATTGGACCCCCGAACTGGGAATGTGATTGCTCATGTTGCTGAAGGCGATTCTGAAGATATAAATCGGGCAGTTTCTGCTGCTCGCAAGGCCTTTGATGAAGGACCATGGCCAAAGATGACAGCTTATGTAACTATTCCTTATTTTACTTGTACCATGTTAGTGTATGCAGGTGAATGGTCTCGAATTCAGTGCTGTTTTCATTTTTTTTTTCTAACAGAACACCTTTGTGCAGGAAAGATCAAGGGTCCTTTTCCGCTTTGCTGATTTGGTTGAAAAGCATAATGATGAAATTGCAACCCTTGAGACTTGGGATAATGGGAAGCCATTTGAACAGGCTGCTAAAACTGAAGTACCAATGATTGTGCGTTTTTTCCGGTACTATGCTGGTATGTTTATTTTCTACAACACAACTGTACCTTATGCTATGTGGGGTTTACACAAAATTTATGTTTTAATCTGGATGTTCCTCAGGATTTGCGGATAAGATTCATGGTCTCACAGTTCCAGCTGATGGAGAGTATCATGTGCAAACCCTTGCATGAACCTATAGGTGTTGCAGGTCAGATAATTCCATGGAATTTCCCTCTTCTCATGTTTGCTTGGAAGGTTGCGCCTGCCTTAGCGTGTGGCAACACCGTTGTTCTGAAGACAGCAGAGCAGACACCATTGTCTGCTCTATATGTAGCAACGCTGTTGCAGGAGGTACTTCATGAATCAAAATTGTCCGTCTCACCTTTCGTGAATCAAAATTTTCCTTCTCACCTTTTGCTTCATTGATGGTCTCATTTGGTAAATTTTATGTTCGGATGATTGAATCCGGAATTTTGACATATTTGTAAATTTCTCTAGCAAGTGCTTCCAATAGCTTATGTAGCAAAGGTTTGACTGTGTTTTTGTGGCATAGAAAAATGAAAACCATAGCTTGTCTTACCTTATGTTGTGCAGAAACTTAATCACCTTTCTAGGACATGCATCGTAGTATTTTCTTCTGTCCAGAAGCTAGGACGCATGTGATATTAATTTTCAAAACAAACGATTTCCACTTGGAACTGAACACGGCCCTTACGGTATTGTGCCATTGCACAGCTGTCTCAAATCCAGTTGAAGTGTTTAGAAGATAATTCATCTCTCCCAGCTACTTTTTACCTTTCATTCTGATTTGATGGTTTTTAACAAATTTCGGTTTTGAGTTGAACCTGTCAGTGGATTATGTGTATAAGCTTGGATATTAATCCTTCAATTATTAATGCTGATTGGATTTTTTTGGGCCTTTTACAGGCTGGACTTCCTCCGGGTGTTTTAAATGTGGTTTCAGGTTTTGGTCCAACAGCCGGTGCAGCGCTTTGTAGTCATATGGAAGTTAATAAGGTACTGTATGACATTAATTATGAAAGTTCCTATCTTGGAATTGGCACTCTTATGTAATTTCATGAGAAAAAAGAACTTCCCAGTTGTGTATTATATCTGCAATAACATCTTTTGCTCAAACATAACTTCTCCAAACTCATAACCAATCACCTTGTTGCCTGAGGCTGTGTGAGATTTGTTCTGTCTGTATGAGGTTGAATGGTTCCAAAATCAAAATTCTGGGTTTAAAATTCATGCTACTTCTTTATGTGGAGAAACTGGATTTTCGTATTCATATCTGTGTTGTTATAAATATATCTTACTATATTATAATTTCTTATGCTTTGATGGGAAACTGGTTATTGATGGAATATAATTGAGTGTTTGCACTACAAACTGAGTTGATTCTGTTCAGAAAAGTTTTCAGTCAAGCAAATAGAGTTGAATGTTGACCTGTGATCCTTGGCTAAGAACAAGGTGGGTTCTAGTTATCATTGAGTTAAGAATGTTGAAGATTCTATCCAAGCTTTGGTAGGCAATATGAAAAAAGTTACCAAGAGGACTATCTATTGATTCAATATTTCCCGCATGCTTCATTGATTAGATGAATAGGTCATATTTGATGGCAACTCTCGTTTGCCACTGGCGATAGAGTCAACTCTCTCAATAGTCTGCCAAAATATGAGTAAATAATAATTGGGCTGCCAGCTTGCATCAATTTGTTATCTCAACATGCTTCTTCCTGCTAAAAGTGTCAACATTCCCTTTGCAGGTTGCTTTTACTGGATCAACTGATACCGGAAAAAAGGTACTAGAATTGGCTGCCAAAAGCAATCTTAAGACTGTAACTTTGGAGCTTGGCGGGAAATCCCCATTTATTGTATGTGAGGATGCTGATGTAGATAAGGCTGTTGAGCTGGCACACTTTGCTCTCTTCTTTAATATGGTATGTCTAACCATTGTCTTGGGAGAAAAAGTTTGATTCTTTAAGGCGTTGAAATCCATATGTTGATTACATGACACCTCTGTTTATAGGGTCAATGCTGCTGTTCTGGTTCTCGTACATTTGTACATGAAAGAGTATATGATGAGTTCATAGAGAAAGCAAAGGCCCGTGCTGAGAAACGCATTGTTGGTGATCCATTCAAGGGTGGTGTTGAGCAAGGTCCTCAGGTAAAACATTGGTAGCTCTACCATGCAACAATCCTGTTACAATCAATTTTTGAATTTAATCTTTGAACTAACATAAAACTCTGCTGTCGAAAGTTGGTTGCACAACCTAACTTGCATATGAGATTTTGTATTCTCAATGTCCATTTAGTGTTGTAAAGTACTGTTTCTTGATTCTAATTGAAACCATTCAATAAACGTGAGCCATGACACACAAAATGAAAAAAGGAAAAAGGAAAGGAGTCAATAAAGATGCATTGCAGCAAATTTATTTTGGATTGCACCTTGACAATACTTGTGCGAACTAGCATTTTTTTGTTTGTGATACTAATTGAGTCTTACTCAAACAAATCAGATTGATTCAGACCAATTTGAGAAGATCCTGAGGTACATTGATTATGGTATTAAAAGTGGAGCTACACTGGAAACTGGAGGAGGAAGGCTTGGCACAAACGGTTTCTATATTAAGCCCACTGTATTCTCAAATGTTAAGGTATATTATTTCACATTGCAGATCATAACCATATTTACCTAGAAGCTGAAACATGATTATGATTGATCTAAACATGGTTCTCCTGGGGTAGGATGACATGCCAATAGCACAGGATGAGATTTTTGGTCCAGTGCAGTCCATCTTGAAATACAAGTGAGCAATAAAGCTTTCTTCTTTAAACCTGTTGTTATCCAATCCCTTTTGTTAGAATTAACATTAACATTATGGCTGATTGCAGGGACCTTGATGAGGTGATAAGAAGGGCAAATACTACGCGATACGGGCTTGCTGCAGGGGTCTTCACACAAAACATAGATACTGCAAACACATTGACACGCGCATTGCGGGTCGGTAGTGTATGGATAAACTGCTTTGATGTCTTTGATGCTGCAATTCCTTTTGGAGGGTACAAGATGAGTGGACATGGAAGAGAAAAGGGCATTTACGGTCTTTCTAATTACTTGCAAGTTAAGGCTGTTGTCACGCCCCTGAAAAATCCTGCATGGCTATAAACTTCAAAAGCTTAGTTTCACTGTGCAATGCCAAGAATAAAGAGAGAAGTGCATCAATATTTGACGCTGTGATTTCATGCGACATTAGGTGGTGCTGATGATGATAAAATCTTGCTTCTTTGTAATGAACTAAAGCAATGTATTTATTGAATTAATGGTTGGTTCAGTTAATTACTAGTTTAGTGGTTGGTGTAATGGCTAATCAAATTCTATGGTTTGTTGATGCATCATTTTCTCCTCTTTCAATCACATTTCAAAATCTGTTGCTGATAATAGGCTGATTTTCTGTTTATTAGTTGGATATTGTCTTACTAATGCCAGATATGGCTCGTGGCTTGTTTATGAACTAGATGACATGGAATGAATATCTCCCCCTGTGTGGATCTGAAGATGACATGAAGGGGAAGAAGCCCACCTGCGTCTAGGCCCTCCATGGCCCACTTCTAATATCCAAAAAGATGAACCCTCGACCAAATGGGCCCATTCACTGTATATCAATGGGACAATGTCTTGCCTAAACATCTATGTGCTGGCTTTTATTGCCCTGAAAAAGTTTCATTAGTAGTACCAATTGGTATTGTCATATCACTGATTGCTAAACATAGTGTACGAACAAGAGGGATCACAGGGACAGAGACAGAGAAAAAATGGAGACTACATAGAGCCACTGAAGAAGAGAAAAGAGTGTCCTAATAATTCAACATGAACATTGATGAAATTAGATGTTTGGGACACCAAGACTGGGCAAAAAATTCATGGTTTTATGATATATCCTCATAAAAGCAATTAATGTATTTGATACAGAGCAAGAAATGTAGTAGAGGTGAACATTTTGAATGTTGAACTATGTCTTGAACTTGTTTACAATTTGACGATCTTATAGTGTTTTGCAAAACTATTTGCACTCTGGTGGCATGACTTTAAACCTGGATGTATCTTTACAGTAAGAGTAAAACATTAGCTTACTTCTTGCCCAACCCAGAGCACTAATTTGCTGGTTAGACAACTTTACAAACTCTGGTCCTTCAATTGGGTCCAAGCTTGAAGGAGTGTTCTTAGAACATGAAGTCACTGTTCCTGTGGGATTGGATATGCAGCCACTCATTTCCATTTCTGCAAACGAAACTCTAAACGGTGCATATTTGTAGTTAACTGGGTATTTTCCTCCATGAGTTGCCCACTGTGAGGCATCCCATATTGTTGCATAAACTGACATGGGTTTTGAAGGGAAAAAGGAACCGCTATGCTGAAACTCTCTTAAAGGGATATTGTCCACTAGAAACCTGCAAATTTAATGGGCAATTTTAGAGTTGGGTAAATATCAAACCATTCATTTTGGTTATCGGAATTTTGGTTTGCTTACACTATATGATGGTTGTTCCAGATGATGCTGTATTGATGCTGCTGTTGTGTTGGGTCAAACCAGAGATAAAACTTCTCTTCTCTTCCTGTGTTTACACTTCCATTTGCATATACATTTGTCTGAATGACCCAATCATTTCTTTTATCATGGCCCAATAGCTCTATGTCAATCTCATCATGATTGTGAGGGAAAACATCTGCATTAGACAGCTGCAAAAATTCCATACAAAATGTTAGGCTTGACTGCAACATGTATATGCATCTTAAATTACTGTATGAAGCATTGAACTTACATAGAAAGCCACTACAACCCCAGAAGTGAGACCAGCAGGCAGCTTGATGGCAGCACTAAAGAATCCATAGTGATATTTGTTTACAGATACCAATCCAGATCCTGCATGTTGAACCAAAAACAAAAGAACCTGATAATTAATAATGAATTCAACCAAACTATAACTTAAAAATCATCAGGGTCATAATTGAGCATCACTCTGAATAAGGACTTCACCTGACGACTTGTCAAGAGCAAGAGTGGCCATGGATCCATTGATCACCTGAATGTTTGAGCCTCCGTAAGCTTTCGAAAACCCATTACTAATTGGTACGCGAGGGAAAGCGTCTGTCAAACGTGGAACGCTTGGGCTTGTGTAGTATCTATTATGTGAAGAAACCAGTACTGCCATACACAAAATTAAAACACAAAAGCAGGGGAGTTTTTCCTGCAAAAATGCCATCTTAGCTTTTATTATATCAGATAGCTGAATCAAAATGGTTGGAGTTTTTGGTATTTATTGGGAAAGGTTTTAGGGAGGTTCAAAACCACATTCATAATCTTGCTTAGTTGTCTATTAGCTGGCTGGCTATATCTTTCCTAGTCTGATAGTATCTCTTTTACTCGGCGTTTTAAATTTTGTACCCTAGAGACGATATCAGAAAGCTCATGTGAGTGTGATTTTGAGAGGCTTGGTACATCTTGCTGCAGGGGCTGCCCAAAAGTCAGGGCAATGCATGATTTAGACTCTGACTTAAATGTTGATGGGTATCGTAGCCGCAACCTCCTCTGTTGAAGGCACCATTTTCACTTCTGGATGTGGTCCAGGTGTTATGGAAAGCAGAAGGAAGTACTATATAATTGAATTAGGCCAAACTATAATGGGTTGGCCTTCACCCAGGTCCTAGCCAAATTATTTGACCAGCTGAAAATGAATCATTTTGTTTTCCTTTTTGTCATTTTGGTTAACAAGTTGCGATTTAGCAGCTATAATACTAGTGGTGACTAACTAGCTCTCGGTCTAGTAGTATTTTTCTTTCTGTACTAACGAAAGATGTCCCAAATTCAAATTCCATTATTACGCGTACTCAGAGGTTATATATTCATAATTGAATGGAAGAACATATATATCATTGAGTTTTCCTTAAAAAAACAAGAAGGAAAAGTATAGGCTGACCAAAAAATGTTCAGTCTCTTTCACAAAAGGGCCAGATTTGCCAGAAGTTTTGTAGCTGGCTTTGGAGAGGTGCTTGATATGACAGATAACATATTTCTATCCATTGCAATAAAAGGCCCTGCAAGTAGCCGAAAACTGTATGGTGGCGTCGCTTGTGATTTGGTTAAAATTCTGAATTTGATTGATGTGAGAAGATATAATTAAAGGGTAGCATGTAGAGAGCAGAGAATCAGCCTTCAAAATCTAAGCCAGCCTGTTGCATAAGATGATGATGGGCAGGATCACAATATGCCAAATATTGTTGGAGGCTGCTGGCAAGAAGCAAGAACAAGATACCAACTAGTCTGATTTTCCTAGTTGCGCAAGTTGTTAAACTTTTATTTTTGTTTCTCTCCACATCAAAACCAAAAAGTTATTAAGGGAGTTGAGTGAGTAGTTTTCACTTCACACTAAAGCGGAGAAGTTGGTTTCATTTTTCCATGTCCAAAGAAAGTCCAGTGACATGGGGAACCCGCGTACCAAGCAAAAGCCCCGTAAAAAATGAAAAACAAAAAAAAAAGGCAGAAAGTGTAGTTGAAAAAGTAAGTAGAATTGTGTAGTGTTGCACGTACACTATCACGGAAACTATAAACTCCTATCATTTACTGTAAATTTGATGTAAGTATCATTCACATCAACATCTCTTTTTATGGTTGTTTTTTTCTTTTAGATAAGTAAAATTGAGGAAGAAAGTAATCGAATTTAGAACTTCGGATGAAGATGTATGTATTTTGAACCACTTGAACTACAAACTTCTTACCGTTTAATATATATTTACTCATAAATAGATTTTTGTAGAAGTAAATATAATTATACGTTGAATTCTCCTAGTCAATTACACATCAATGACAATAATCACAAACCAAACGGGAAGTCTCTTGTTCCCATCCTATGTTCACAAAGTCGCCTTTTTTTTTTTTTTTTTTTTTTTTTTTTTTTTTTTTTTTTTGTCAACTGTGACCTTTATACAAACTACAATTTACAAAGCTTGACTTTTGCATAAATCAATTAAAAAATAAAAATTGATTATTGCTTCCATAATGGACGTAAAATTCGCAACTTCCTCCTACTAATCCTAAGGAAATAAAAAATAAAAAATTCCTCGTAATAATTCCACGTTATAATGTTCACACAACCTGTCAATTGTCGAGTGTCGGCTACCTCTCTTCACGTACCCTTCACCTCCACGAGCCCTTCCTTTCCATAATCGACGCTATACGTGTCACTCTCCCATTAGCCCTCCCCCAACTCGAAATACTCTACGAAGCCGCCTTTCCCATGCCCACGTGTCTCCCACTCCACGTGTTGACCGCTGAACTCTCAAGTTTCACTCTGAACGCGCCCCCGGATCCTGTAAAACCATTGACTATCAAATAGCCCTTCGACACGTGTCCCCCACTCTTCTCCCTATATAAACGTGCGAACGTCCAGCCCTCAAAACCAAACAAACAAACAAAACCCAAATCCAAACACCAACCTTTTTTTATCCATTTCAAATGATCCAAAGAAGCGGGTCGGGTCGCCGGATTCTCACATACCCGGCGGTTCATCCATGTGAAGCCATGTCTCCCCAGACGCTCCTGAACTCACTCATCACTCTCACCCACGTCATTTGCTCTTACAAATCAAAATTCATCGCCAGCAACAACAGAAACGCTCGCGAAACGGTAAGACAAATCGGGGTCGTTCGAGTTTTTCTCGAAGAAATCCGAGACGGGCAGTCGGGTCTTTCGGCTTCGGCGGTTCTGTGCTTGTCGGAGCTCCATTTGGCCTTCCAGAAAGTCCAGTTATTGTTGGAAGATTTGACCCGGGACGACGCCCGGGTATGGATGCTGATGAATTCGGATCGTGTGGCGAACCATTTTCGGGTCTTGAGCAGGGCCATGGGTACGGCTCTCGATGTTCTGCCTCTCGGTTCGGTCAACGCACCGGTTGAGATGAAGGAGCATGTAGAATTAGTGACCAGGCAAGCGCGAAAGGCGATGTTTGAAGTCGACCCGGATGATATTCGGGTCGTGGAGGCCGTTAGGTCCGTCTTGGTCGGGTTTGAGAAAGGGGTTGTTTCGGGCAAGAGCGATTTGAAATGGGTTCTCGAGTATCTTGGGAGTAGAAAGTGGAGCAATTGTGAGAGGCAAGTCAAGTTCTTGGACTCAGAAATTGGGGTTGAGAATTTGACTGAAGAAAAGAGAGAAGTGGGTTTCTTGAGCAGCCTGAAGGGGTTGATGTGCTATTGTCGATGTGTGTTGTTCAATGTTGTTGATGGTGAAAGGGGTCGAAGATCCGAGACGACATGCAGTAGCAGTGAGGTATTGAATCGTCTCAATGTAGAAGATTTCCGGTGCCCAATTTCGTTGGACATCATGGTTGATCCTGTGACAATAGGGACAGGGCATAGCTACGATCGGAGTTCGATTATGAAATGGTTCAGAGCTGGCAATCCCATTTGTCCCAAGACGGGTGAGAAGCTCAAGAACATGGAGGTGGTCCCCAATTTGGCGCTGAAGAGGTTGATTCAGCAGTATTGTGCTGCGAATTGTGTTCCGTTTGCTGCTTCGGATCATCGAAATCGTGACATTGGGAAGACTAAGCTTGCAGTTGCTGGCAGTTTGGCAGCTGAGGGAGGCATGAAGATGGTGGCAGAGTTCCTCAGTGGCAGGCTGGATGTTGGGACACGAGAAGAGCAGAACAAGGCTGCTTATGAGATCCGGCTTCTTTCGAAAACAAGCATTTTTAACAGGTCTTGTTTGGTTGAAGCTGGTGTGATCCCACATTTGTTAAAGCTGTTGTCTTCAGCAGATTCAGTGACCCAAGAGAATGCCATTGCAGCCTTGTTGAATCTCTCCAAGCATTCCAAAAGCAAGGATGCGATTGTTGAAAATGGGGGTCTGGATTTGATTGTGGATGTGTTAAAGAAGGGTCTCAAACCAGAGGCTTGTCAGCATGCTGCTGGCACAATGTTTTACCTCGCTTCGATTGAGGAGTACCGGATATTGATTGGAGAAAATCCAGAGGTCATGCCGGCTTTGATGGAGATGATCAAGGATGGGACAGATAGGGCCAAGAAAAACGCATTGGTTGCGATTTTCGGGCTCCTTACACACCCTGCAAATCATAGGAGGGTGATAGCAGCAGGGTTAGTTCCTGTGCTGGTTAATATCTTAACATCTTTTGATAGTGAAGTTCTTGTCACAGATGCTCTAGCAATTCTATCAACTCTGGCGGAAAAACCAGATGGATCAGTTGCAATTTCTGGTTGCAAAGTTTTTGATGCGATAGTGAGGATTTTGAATTCCTCCATTCCAAGGGCAGGGAAGGAGTTCTGTGTGTCTTTGTTGCTGGCTCTTTGTCTAAATGGTGGCAATGATGTTGTTCTTCTTCTGGTTAAGAGCCCTTCTCTTATGGGATCTTTATATTCCCAACTCAGTGAAGGCACATCTCGAGCAAGAAGAAAGGCTAGTGCTCTCATCAGGCTACTACACGAATTCCATGAAAGACGATCCTCTGGCCCAATGGCTCGTGGAGTTCTTCCTCAAGAGAGATTTGTTCACGTTAGGTAACCCAAATTTTTGCGGGATACTTACATTGCTTAATTCTTTTCAGGCCTCTTGTAAATTCAGGGTCTTCTGTAGATATGGTGCTGTTCTAGTTCTTTTATCTGGTTTTATTTTGTTGTTGGCTCGGTTTTTTGAAGAGCTAATGACTGTATGATCAGCTTCTGTTTTTTTTTTCAATGAAGCTTTGTACAAAAAAATTGTTGTATTGTAATCTATTCTAATTCCTTTTCCACATGAAATCAGTAATAATTAATGGTATGATACATTTTCTAAGCTGAAAATCATCCATGATTGTTTCAATATACAAAAACTTTCTGCTATGCTTTCTTCAATTTCAAGTCTTGATTGGTGCGGTCAACGAAATTGGCTCCATTTTGGTTGAGATATGTAGTGCCTTTTCCAGTTTTGAGACCACTTGCTCCATGCCTGGCCTTTGCTGCTTTAGTCCTGTGCATGACAAAGCTAGGTTGAACACAAGGTCAAAGGCTACAACCGAGTACTCCCCGTTAAGCTTAGGATCTGCAAATTCTGTTACATCACCGCCTTTTGTGAGTGCCCTGGCCTGTAGAGCAAAGGCATGGCACATAATAAGCCAAATCAGTGACTTGAAATAGTTCTTTACAAATGTGGAAAATATGAAGTTTCTCACCATTTTACTAAGTGGCATTGGTTTTTGTGAGTTCAGATTGATAACCCTGCGCCCTGAGATAAGTTGTAGAAGAACTATTCCAAAACTGTAGACATCTCCTGAAGCATTTACATGGTGGTTCCGTCTGTACTCAGGATCGACATAACCAAATGTCCCTCTCACTTCTGAGCTCACATAGGACTGGCCCAAGTCCATAACTTTAGATAACCCGAAGTCTGACAGTTTGGCTTGAAAGTTGTTGTCGATGAGAATGTTTGTTGGCTGCCAATTGGGACAAGAAAAATTGTTTGAAGAAATGAGTGGCAAGCAAACAGCAACAGAGGGGGCAAAAACAGAAGATAGTGCAGATGATATAGGCCTACCTTGATATCGCGGTGAACAATGCAGCCATCCGGATAAGTGTGCAGAAACCAAAGGCCTCTTGCACTGTCAATTGCAAGCTCAAGTCTCGTTATCCATGGTAGACTTTTATCTTTACCTGTAATCAGCTTTGAATTGGCTTTCCAATTGATGAAAAATCTAGAGAAAATTTTCACGAAAGGAAATATGAATGAACTTACCAAATAGCCACTCTGAAAGGTTCCCATTTTGACAAAGTTCATAGACCAGGAAACATTCTTCTACATCTTCACAATAGCCAAGCAAAGCTACAAGGTTCGGATGTCTAACATCGGAAAGGCTTGTTACTTCTCTGATGAATGTCTCTACAGAGCCATCATTGATTATGTGCTTGACTGCAACATGCTTCCCATTCAAGAGTATGCCTTTATATACCTTTCCTGGAATATTATCAGAATAGTATTAGAATTTAGAAGCCAGTTCTTGGTAGCTTCTCTTCTGTAATTCTATTATATGCCTTTGTTTCTGCTTAAAATTTCTTCTTGTTCTGGGAGAGGGTTTACTCTCCATTACAGAGCTTGCTTTGCTCTTTTTGAACATCTTTAATTAGTCAGTCATTATGACCAACAGCAAAAGTAGAAAAAATGAATCATAGACATTCTTACCAGCTCCGCCTTGGCCAATGAAATTGACTGCACTTAGATTGTCGGTCGCTGCATAAATTTCCTTGATTGATATTTTAAAGCTTCCAGGTTCTTCAGACAGTGAATCGTTTGATGCTGTCCAGTAAAACACAGGTTAGCAACATTTTACTACCGTTGGGTTTCAAGTGAGATGTGAAACTTTTTGGAGAAATACCATATTTCTCAGCTGAAACACTCTTTTGAGGCCCTTTTCTACATAAGGTCCATGTGGCAATGAGAATCATTGCTGCAATTCCTGCTAGACCACCAGATACAATCCATTTACCTGACATTCTCATGAAATTAATCAAAATTACCATGAAACCCCACTTCATCATGACCGACCTTAAAAAAAACTGCCAGCAAAGAAACTTCCTAGAATTTAGGACTCAAAAGGTGCTGTGATGACCATAATGTATTTAAATTACCTGTGCTCAAGTTTATAGCATTAGTCCCCGAGCTTCGCTGTTCATCTGCAATGGAAGCAAAGGCAATTTCTTAGCTGGAGCTTAAGTAACAAAAATGCTACAACTTATTATTGTATAAAGATGAAGACATGAAATAGAATCAAATATCTTTGCTGATTGTCTGGCTGCCTACCTTCTAATGGTAAAAGAAAAAAAGGAGAGGACTGCCTACCTGCTGAAAGTCTCTGATCCCCAAGGCATTCATAAAGTGCCTGAACAAAATCCTTATCATCAATCCTCTTGCTTGTTAAGGATACCAAAACAGCAAAACCACAGATATTGGCTTCAACCTTCGATGAACCCCTCTTATTGTCTGATGACGCAACAATCTCTTCCCACCTTTTCAAGCATGCACTGCAAACCTGATCAGATTTTTCGGCTGTGCCCAAAAGCTTACAGTCTTCTTCTAAACTTTCCATTGTGCTCCGTAAATTATTAAAAACATCTAGTTTAGTATAGTCAGAGCAGCCGCCGGCTCCACTTGTTAGCTTCTCGATGCCACAACTCAAAACATCCTCCTTAATACCCTTCATTAGGACTAAGCAGTTTGTCTGCTCTGTGGAATTCAAGAAGAGCTTCCCGGTCTGGTTGGCCCTCTGTCCCAAGGCATACAGGTAGTCATCAAAAACTACTTCACAACAATTACTGATAAATCCACCCCAATTTCCTGCCTCACAACTTGAGTTACGCCAAGATGAAGAGGCTTGAATATCAATGACACACTCAACATCTGGGGTCTGTGAGAAAACAAAATTTAAGGCACTGAGGAAAATAAAGACAAGTATCATCGGATTATGACGACGGAGGAAACTCGAGATAAGTTTGGCCATGGTGGGAAGCAAAAGGTAGATATCCCAATTATGACATCCTTGAAATGAATGAACACAGATGATTGGTGACAGAATTGGAGATATGCATATGTCTTCAACCGGCCAGGAAGACTATGTCTTCTTTCTTACTTCTTTTAGTGTGTGTGTGTGTGTGTGAAGAAAGGATGCTCAGAATGTATAACTTGGTATCTGGAATGATTATAGAATCTAAAAGGGAAAAGAAGATTGTGTATTGTGATCGTTGGCAAGGAAAGTATTTTTCATTTTCATATAATGAGACGGCAATGACATAATTTTATCTGCAAACTTTTATATACTTGTGAGAGAGAGAGAAAGACAGAGAGAGAGAGAGGGGGAGAGAATTTGGAGTTATTTGAAGTTGGAATAATGTATACAAGGCAAATGGCTGTGAGGTGCTGTAGGTTGGATATATGCAGGCTATTTATTTTTCCAGTGTCAAGGCATGGACCAAATAAACTAATATTTAAGAATTAATCAAACTAAAGCATTTCATTGATTTGTTATATATATATATATATATATATGTATAAGGTAATGCCAAATTATAAATCTCGAGGATGTTTCTGAAGTGTGTTCTGAAGGGTAGGACAAAGAAATAAGACAAAATGCATGGTAGATTGCTCCTGCTGGCTTATGTTGATTGAAGGTCAAATTCCATTTTAAAAGAGAGGATAGGCAGAGGCCGGAGGGTATGTATACAAGAAATTTAACCTGACGAGTAAGCACTTTGCTCTTTGATCATGATATTGCTTGCTGCCTTCAAAGACAGATGTTGCTACCAAGATGAATGGTTTTTAACTTTTAGTTCAGATGGTCAATTTTGGATCAGGGCATTTGAGCTGGTGCCTGATCACTTCTCTGTGGTTGACAAACAGATCTTTTTCACCCCAAGAATATCATTAATGCTAGACAATAACTTTGTAAAAGTCGCAATTTCAAAATATTTTTTGTATCTTCTAAAACTGTTATCAACTGTTTACTTTATGAAGATTACAAAAAATGTGATAACTTGATAAATTTAATTAGGACTAAGCAAGTTGTCCATTCTTGGACTTTTTTTTTCGGTCATGACAGATTCTTTGGCTCTAAATCAGCAAGAAAAGCCACTAGATGATCCCTTTCAATTCTAATTAACTCCTATGTTGTAATGTGTTAGTATGAAAATTGTATTGGCATTTCCTAGACTCTAACAAAGGTTGGAAATTAGTGTGTGAATATATTTCATTGGAAGTTTTGGCGCAACACATTCAATTCTAGATTTTCAAAGTGTGACTTGATCGATATGAGGAAATTGATTTGAGTGCTGATATTTCCACCTACCTATCTTATTTTTTCACCTACCTTATCTTCAGAATTTTAAAAACAAATTTACCCTTTTGTAAAATGACTTCTAAGGACTTCGTCTCCCCACCAACAAACAAGTGTTAACTTTTAATAAAATTTTTTTTAAAAAAAGCTAAAACTATTTATTTTAAAAACAAAAAACAAAAACCCAACAAACACCAATCTCCCCACCTAGCCACCCGATCCTACCCTGCCGGCGGTGACCCCCTCCCCCCTTGCCGCTGATAAATCCTCATTTCCTCTCTATCTCCTTCTATCTCTCTATCTCTGTCTCTATGTGCCGATCCATATTTGGATCCCAAGATCTGTGTAAATGATGAGTAACAACAACAGCAACTGGAGGTCCAAACAACTATCAGAAGAGATCATGTAATTGATTCTACAACGATACTATGAGACAGACTATGTTCTTGGGGTTTTGAAGAAGAGCAAGATGGGTGTTATTCTTGCCGAAGGCTTGAAGATGAGATTGACTATGTTGTAGGGGTTTTGAGTTTGGGGCAGAAAGTGGTAGAGTGGGAAAAGAAAAGAGATTGACTACGCTATTATCATGGACCATGGTCCTTCATCTGTAAATTGTTCATTGTTAGTTAGCTTAATGAGGTAGTTTAAATTTAGTCATCTATGCTGATCTACATGTATCTTTTTTACTATATATTTAGGTTAATGATGTTTAACTTCGTTTGAACATGATTTCAAGCTGTGATGTGCAGCTGCTAAAGTTTATTAGGATAAAAGCTCTCCAACTATGGCCTCTGTAATGATTGATCTCATGCCAGCTTTTACCTTCATTCTTGCTGTCATTATTGGGTATTTTTAAAATTGATGAATATATTTTCTTTTTATGATAAATATGTTTTGGTTTTTAGGATGGAAATTCTAGATTTGAGAATTACCAGTAGACATGCCAATTGTATAGGCACAACGGTATAAATCTTAGGGGCAAAGTGCTTCCAGCGAGCAGAGAGAGGTTGTTGCTGGCAGGGTTGGGGTGGCTGACTAGGTTGGGTGGGTGGGGGAACTTTGGTTGAATTTTTTAATACTAACTTCATAAATATGAGAATTTGTTTGAATAATTAAAGGGTATTTTAGGAATAATAGTGGGTGGAAAGATAGAATTGTGTTTTTTTTTCAAATTTATAAAGTGGGTGAGAAGATAAGGTGGGTGGGAAAATAGAACAAGGGGGTGGAAATAGCAGCACTCAATTGATTTCAGGTAAATCATGATATAATCATGCATTTATGATAGGATTCTTAGTTGGAGTTATTTTCACTCAAATGCTTATGTATTAGTCTTATTTTTAATAGGATTAGATTTTATCTTTTGAGATTACTTTCTTAGTTGGACCTTAGTTTGATTCTCATTAAAACATTACTTTTCCTCTTATGACTTGGAGGGCACGTTACTCTATTAAAGTGCTCTCCTACCTAATTGGTCTCATTGATTTATCTTGGTAGATATTATTTCCTTCAACAATAGTTAATTGTAGTGAAAGACATCTTTTATTAGATTATGCAAAAGCTGATGTTTTTTTTATTAGCATCCTAAAATACTTTCAAGATTTGTATGTGAGCATCTAAAATTTATAAGAAAGTTGTTGTGCATAACTTTGAGATAATTTATTAAGTGTTCCATGTTTACTTGGTGATTTATCAAATACTTTCATAATTCATATTGTATTCATTTACATGTTCTGTAACTCATACGGTTGAGGGCACCAAGACCGTGATGGTAGTTTTTCTCAGGCGAGCTTGAAGAAATCGTAACCAATATTGCATTCAACATAAGTAATGTCGGAAGATCATTCCGTGACAGAAGTTGAGTTACAAAGAAGTCGGTAAACATTATCTAGAATGTGTCTAGGATAAGTATATGAGTGAATACTTATTGTAATCATCGTTCTATAGTGGATTTGTTTTGAATTGAAGAGTTCTGTGAATTTTCCCCAGAATTAGCAATTTACCACGTAAAATAATTCACTTTATGTTCTTTTATTTTATGCGTTTCACGTTTTGAGATTGATAAGCTATATCAAGTAATTTCATAATGCCAATAGAATTCATCCAAAATCAAAGAGCTTGGGTCTTGGCCCTGTCCTGGTGGGCTCAACTTTTACCCTGAAATTAACAGGGACCCACTTAACAGCTGGGTTTTAGTGAAGCAATTCTTTTCCCAGAAAACTAGGAGATGGTCCAAAATTCTTCAGCTCTATGCCAACAACTGTCCCTTGGAGCCAACCTTCGCTGCCTCGTTAAAAAAAGAGTAAATATCTTCAAACCCCCTCAAATGGAAGCACGTGACTATACTTTATATGGGGTTGTTGAGTACGTCTCAATAATTGACCCCAAACGACGCTGTATTGTTCCATCTTCAACTCCACCAACAGTACTACCTAACTTTCGACCAAAAAAAAATACAAATTTATAAATAAACCCAATTCTAGACATGTATTTATAAAAAAACCCAAGTACTATTTAAACATAGAAACACACCCAAAATCAACCCCGAAGTCAACTTTTTGGGTGTGTTTATAAATGGGTTTTGAGTGTGTGTAATGATAGATTTTGGGTGTGTTTATATGTTTGAATAATGCTTGGGTTTTTTTATAATTTCAACCTCAATTTTGGGTGTTTTAGTGAAACTCCCAAGAAAAAAATTGTCCTACCAAACCTCCACCACCAAATTGTGGGTTTTTGACTGAAATGGTTCAACTATTGCTCGGGTTTCATTTTGATTCACGAACTAAATTTTTTATTTCAATAATCATCTAATTCTTCATTTAGTATCAAAACAGTCTTACTGTCCAAGTCTGTCAATTATTTCTTGAAATTAAGGGGCAAAACCGTCCTTTTATAGCAAAATATCTAAAAATAAAGAAAAGAAATAATTAAGAAGAACATCACTTCTCTCTCCCTTTCTCCCCACCCCAAACCACCGGCTCCCCACCTGCTTCTTCACAAGCTGAGCTTGTTGAGGCTTCAAATTTGAAATTGGCTTTTCCTTCTCTATCTTTCTCTGTTTTATTGACCCAGAAAAAGAAAAATATTTCTTTGTCTTTTGGGTTTGCTCTTTTCTCTGTTTCTTCAGGGCTCGTATTTGCAAAGAGAACTTTTTTTTTGGTTCTTCTTCTTGTTTTGTTTTTCTGGGTGTTTGAAGTTTTGTGGGCTTATGCTTAAAATGGCTGGGTTTCCTCCCCATGATATTTTCCTCAACGAAGTAGCCTCCCCAACCTCCAAGCTTAACCCTGACCATTTTCTTTCCATGACGGCCTAGCTCAACACTTGGCTGCTCTTTCTTTCCTCAAACAACGTCAATGCCTTTCAAAACCTCTGCTGAATATACCTTTGCAGGTTCTCTCTCTCACTCACACACAGAGAGCTAGCCTTCTTTTAGATTTGAAAGAGAACACTCACGCTTTCGATATGGATCAAACAAGTTTCCGGTTACCCCTTCAATTGTATCATCAATTGGAAGGATGTGAACCAGGTTTCCATACTTGACATCGGGCAATGATGAATAGACACAACATCTCCAAGGCAAACCGTAAGATTAGCTCGCACAACTTTGTCCATTCCGATTTTCGGTTCATCGCATTTGTCGCCAACAAGAGGAAGGACTCCTCCTTGCCTCATCCTTGCCTCAGCAAGCTCATCCTGTGAAGAAGCAGCAGAGCCAGAGGGCACCACAAAGGTTTGCGCCGGAGTTGGATGGGTCGTAAAAATACGATTTTACCCCTGAATTTTACGGCAAAATTGGCGGATTTTTACGGTAGGACCAATTTGACACTACAGAAAATTAGAGGACTATTAAAATGAAAATTTTAATTGATGGACCAAAATGAGACTTGAGCAATAATTGGGGACCATTTCGGTCAATAACCCCAAATTTTTATCTTCCCCAAAGAGAAAAGCTTGAAGCTTTGGGGATTTTTCAGCTGCTCCTCATCTGCCGGACCCAAACCCAGAAACCCATTGAGAAAAATCCACCGATTTCCGATGGGTTTCAATGCCAAAACCGCCGACGAAGATTCCGAGTCAAGCGTCCTCCTCCCCACCGTATCCGCCACCACACCCAATAAAATCCCGAAGGACTCGTTCCACTTGGCCTACATCATCTACTTCACACTTGGTGCTGGCTACCTCCTCCCATGGAACGCTTTCATCACAGCCGTCGATTACTTCGCCTACCTCTACCCAGATGAAAGCGTGGACCGTATATTCGCCGTCGCGTACTTCGTGGTGGGCCTCGTCTGCCTCCTCTTCGTAATCTTCTACGCCCACAAGTCCGACGCTTATGTCCGGATCAATGTGGGTTTGGGCCTCTTCGTTGTTTGCCTGCTCATCGTGCCCCTCATGGATGTCTTTTACATCAAAGGTCGGGTCGGGTTGTACGACGGGTTTTACGTGACGGTTGGAACGGTTGCGCTTTCGGGTTTGGCTGATGCTTTGGTTCAAGGCTCGCTCATTGGGGCGGCTAGTGAGTTACCCGAGACTTATATGCAAGCCGTTGTGGCTGGGACTGCCGGTTCAGGTAACTTCTGCTATTTGGTTTGTTGGGGATAATTTCAGTTTATGGGTTTTGCTCTTTATTTGGTTTTGGTTTCTGGGTATGGCTTTGTTCTGTGAATTATAAGCGCTCAGAATTTGTTTTGGTAACTTTGTGGTGGTTGTGTAATAAATGCTGCTTTGAGTTGATTTTGGTATCAAAGAAAGGAAGCCCTTTTTAGAATGTTTTAAGATTTCCAGCATTTGTGGAATTAGTAGTTCTCTGTCAAAGTAAAAAAATGAAAAATTCATTGCTGACTAACAGACTAGAAAGCATAGAAATTTTGCTATTCTAGGTTTACTGATTATGTAAGTTCATCAAAGTTTCACGAGGGATGCCTAAAATGCGTTTTCCCAAATTTTTTATTGATTCCAGGAGTCCTTGTTTCTGCTCTGAGGATCATAACTAAGGCTGTATATCCACAAAATGCTGATGGCCTGAGAAAAAGCGCAAACCTTTACTTCGCTGTTGGGATAGTAGTTATGGTCATATGCCTTGTTTTCTACAATGTGGCACCAAGGCTTCCAGTTATGAAGTACTATGCGGAGTTGAAGACTCAGGCTATAAATGAGGAGAAGGAAGAGAATGGTCCTTTGACTGCGTCTGTGTTGAGATCAACTTTGTGGCACGTAGTTGACAGAGTCAAGTGGTATGGATCTGGCATCATTCTTATCTATGTTGTGACTTTGGCAATATTTCCAGGATATATTACTGAAGATGTACACTCTCAGATTCTCAAGGATTGGTACTCAATCCTCCTTATTACAGGCTACAATGTGTTTGATCTTATTGGCAAGTCTCTGACTTCTGTATATCTCCTTGAAAATTCTAAGGTTGCGATCGGCGGCACAGTTATAAGATTGCTCTTCTTTCCTCTCTTCTATGGGTGCTTGCATGGCCCCAAATTCTTCCGAACAGAGATTCCAGTGACAGTACTTACTTGCCTTTTGGGACTTACTAATGGCTACTTGACAAGTGTGTTGATGATTTTGGCTCCCAAGATCGTCCAATTACAGCATGCGGAGACTGCAGGGATTGTGATTGTGTTGTTCTTAGTTGTGGGTTTGGCTGTTGGTTCAGTTGTATCTTGGTTCTGGGTCATCTGAGTTTTGAGCAAATTTTATTACACCAGAAACTCCAAAACGTACTGCTGTTGCCAAGTCCCACTGTTGGGGGATGAGTTGGGCTGGGTTTGCTAGTACCCTCCTTTGTAAAGCTGTGTAACGCAACTGTTTGAAATATTGTAATTTTTTCCTTTTCCCAAAACATGGGTTATGAATTGTAAATGGATGGTTGATCTGTCAATTTTTTCAGTTAAATTATGGAAGTCTGGATGTGTTGCTTTACTGGTAGTCATCAAGTTATAAACTTAAGTTCTAATTGGACCCCTCGCTGGCTGTAGTTCTGGTTCCGTTCTCCCAATCCCTTTGTAGTGTTTCATTCACCACAACCGACAAGAGACCAGGGTTTATAGAGTCATTGCATTTCCAAATGAAATCCGGCTCCTAAAACGAAAGCCAATGTCATATGAGAAAAACTTCCCCATCCTTGTTTCATTACACCTCTCCTTTATCTCTTCTCATAATCAACCAATAACCTATCAATGGAGAGAGATAAAGTGAGGGGCAATGAAACAGGGATAGGGAAGTACTTCTCCATCTACTGACCTAGCGACAGAATACAAAGTTCAAGTGCCTCACAGAATACAAACCTGCACCTTTCAAAATAATACACATGGGTTGGATGCATGTGCTTCTTGTTCTTAAGAGCGAACACAGCTGTAATGGCCTGAGAGAATTCTTGTCATGCACTTAAAAATATTATGCCCATAATGAAAGCGCCAAACACGAATACAAGTATTATTTTGGCAAAGAATTACCAACAGGACATCTAATAGATTCCAAAGCTACAAACAACCCACAAGAGAGATGAAGACAAAAACGGGTTTATTTGCTTATGGACTAAAACTGTACTTTGAAGCAATACAAACAGAAGAATATGGTTTAGCCTTGACAGCCATCTATGCTAATCCATCCTATGTAATAAGGAGTGAAACAAGCGAGAGGCCAATGGATGTATAATACTAACAAGACTCATGTCTACAGCAACAAAAATACAACCTACAAACAAAACCGTCGTGTTCACGTTCATGCTCTTGTTCTTGAAGCAAGACCTGTCTCAACCTTCTTAATTTCAAAGATGAGCATCCTCCACATCTTGAGAACAAACATTTCAGCTTCCTCGTCTAAAATGGATTGAAGCAGCTGTAGCATGCGTTCTGCTCCCACATGTTCCTGAGTACTAGATACAATGTAATCTACCAGTGTGGTCTCTTCCTCTCCTAGAAACTCTGTAATCTTCTTTGAAATCCATGGTCTCATTCTCTCATGTAGTGCATGCTGTGAAAGTAGAAAACATCATACACAATTTATGAGCAGTTATTAAACAATTACAATGAATAATTTTCACTCATGTAGCCCAAGTTTAAACAAAAAATTTCAGAATTTTGGCCTAATGCATGCTTACCTTGTCATAAATAGCCCAATTTATTTCATATGAGAATAATTCCTCTTTCGTCTTTGGAATCATATCAATCAGTTGTTTCGCATCCAAAAGCTTTTTGTTATCCGTTGTCCTTGGTTTATCCAGCCCATGTTCTCGATCGGTATCACGGTCAGTCTTCTCCTTGTTCTCATCTCTAGTGCGAATAGTGTCATCATCACTCCTGTCCCTATCCCGTTGGCTCGACCTATCATTAGCACGTCTATTTCTTTCCTTATCTATATCTGGTTTCTCTTCCCTAGAGCTAACATTTGAAATTCGCTTTGCGAATTCTGCAGCTGCAGCCAAATTTGATGGAGGCCCAGAAGCTGTTTGTTGGACAGCCTGCAGTTCTTCAGTTGAATAATCAATGGGAACCAGTGGCCTCATTTTTTTGTCCTTGTGTGCATCATCATCCTCCTCATTGAAAACAGAAGGAACAGCAGTGCGTTTTCCAGACCCGACGAGGCCAAAACCCAACTTTTTTGCTGGGGCACTGCCACTCTGCTGTGGTTCTGATGCATGAACTGATGTCATTGTTGACTCATCACCACTGTTACCATTCTGTAAAGTCCCATAACCTATCACATCAAGTCAAACCATATAAGAAAAAAATGAAAACGAAAGGGAAGAAAGATAAAAGGTTTATAAAAGCAATAAATAACTTCACAAGTAATTTTAGTTTACCCATATGATTCTCATGACCAGAAGAATCACCCTCATTATTCTGTTCAGTAGCCTTATCTCTCAGTTCCACAAAGGATTCTTCAGCCAAAGCCGCTTGTTCGCTTCCATTAGCTACATGGACAGATAAATCCCTCAATGCATCTCTTTCTTGCTGTAGTTGCTTTTCCTCATCGGCCCTCCTCTCAGCCTCAGCAATTTCTTCCTCTTCTTTCTGCCTGTCAGCCAAGTCATCTTCTTTCTCCCGTAGTCTCCTCTTTCTCTTCTCCTCCAGCGCACTCCTCCTCCACTTTTTTCTGGAATCTTCATCCTCATCATCTTCTTCATAGATTACCTCTTTCTTCCTCTTGCGTTCCCTTTCTTTCTCCCTCTCCTTCTCATACTGCCTTTGTTTCTCTTTCTCCCTTTCCCTATGCTCCCAATCTTTGAGACATTTGTCATACTGATGCTCAGCATCCTCAATTTTTCTCCTTTGCTCCCTCTCCTTCCGTACCCGTTCTCGTTCTGTTTCTCTTTCATATCTTTCAATCTCACGCTCCTTTTCACGTTTCAGATCTCGCTCTTTGTCTCTACTCCTCCTATCTTGCTTTCTATTCCTGTCAGGTGAGCTTGTTTCAGGCCTATCCTGCTCACTTGTTGCTTTGTTGTCACTAGTTGTCTCTTCATCATTTTTTTCTTCTGAAGCATCTGAAAATGATAACGACGACTATGACCATGACTATGACAACAAAACTGTCACCAAATAATTGACTCTAAATAACTTCATTGCTCATTAAGTACAAAATTCAATAATCACAAAACACTGTCCAGTATAATACTAGTTTCAAGTATGAGACTTTACCATTTCGCGTTATATCAACATCAGAGTCTCCATCCCTTGATTTAGCTGGCAACTCTGAGTTTGAATTCCCAGTGCCATTGCCAGGAGCTGGTGTGGGTGGTGGAGGGAGAGGTTTGGTTTTTAACCTCTCCTCTATCAAGCTTGTAAGCTTCTCCATAGCTTCGTGGTCAGCTTCTCTGTCTTCGTCAGTCACAATTCCAAAATTGGCAGCATCATTTTCTTTGTTACTCGAATTACTATCCTCCTCCTTTGAGTCCAATACAGCAGGATTTGAAGATACATTCTTCTCAACACCTAGTGCACTTTCATCCTCTTTCTCAGCTGCTTCAGCTGCTTTGAGCTTCTTTGAGTTTTCAGTTTTCTTCTCAACAAACCGCTCCAGATATTCTCTCGTTGCTTGGTTAACATTTAACTGTTAAGTTTACAACATCAGATATAGAAAAAACAAACATTAGCAAAACTGAGCGTGCAGTATGAAGAATATGATTACAAAGGAAAGGGAATGTAAATTCCTGTTGCAACATAATGACAATGACAAAAAGACAAAAAGAAAAACAAAATATATAAACAAGGAATCAGGACATACCACAAGGTCCTGCCCGTCAATGTTAAATTTACTCAAAAGGCGTAATGCACGAAGAACTCCTTCAGCAGATTCAAATTCGCAAAACCCAAACCCTCTAGGAGTCGCATCCGTAGGAACTTGAGTACATTTCCAACTCTTGACAGGTCCACATAACTTAACAAAATGTAAAACCATCACAAAGCAAAATATCATACACCAAAAACTGCAACGAAATTACTTATAAAATTTCGGTAACATAAAAAGAACATAGTGGCAAAGTTGATAAAGAAGGCAGATCACAATATTTGAAAGCACACCTGGAGGAGATATAACATAAAATCATTATCCACGGTTGGTGGTATCTTCCCAACATAAACAGTGGTTTGTGGTTTCTCAGCTGGAGTAACACTAGGAAGAGTTGGCCTAACAACAGGGGGCATAATTGGGCGAACTCCAGGAATCCCAGGAACAGGGCCACGTGGTAAACCTGGAAGCGAACCAATTGCTCCTGGTGGACGCGGAGTAAATGCAGGCCGAAGCATTGCATGATATGGAGAAGGATAACGAGCAAGTCCTACAAAGAAAGAAACAAATATCTTGCAAATACATCAGATCACGTTTATTAACTGCATACCATGATAACTAGGTGCACCCCAATTAAACAGATGTATCAAAAAACAATATGACAAGAAATGATTGATTTTTGTTACCACACATTAAAAGCATATTAGAGATGGCAGCACAGGCATGGCAACTACCACCAGCTGAACAGATAACCTGAAGGAAAAATTAAGAAATAGCATCGTGTTCATAAACCATGAATGAGTAAACTGTGCTTACCTTACGCAGCCACTTGGACCATAGTAGCCTTCTCAAGTAATATAAAACCATCAACATCTCATGCATATAGAGGTTGATGAAAGTTGTATATATTTAGATATATTGATAGTTCAATTGATCTCGGAGAGATAGCAGCAGGTGATGCAGCATGAGAACAACAAAAGATTAAAAAAAATACAAAACAAGCATGCACAACATATAACACACACAAACACATGATTAGATGTTTAGATTTATAGATAAGTAGATTGATTGATAGAAAGATAGATAGATAGATAGATGAATGGATGATGGACATAAATAAATATATATGTGTGTGTGTGTGTGTGTGTGTGGGTGTGGATAGTGAGACTGCAGTTGGAAGGATTGTGATACCTTAGAACACAAGGGCAATGAGCAGTCAGTTGCAAACATGGTCTGCTTCTGGCAATTCATAAACCCATGAAAAGGGAAAGTATCCTTAAAACTACCAGAAAGCATCCTACTAAAATGAGCACGACATAATAATACAACTTTAGCATGGCAAATTGAAAAATAAAAGTTTCCAATTTGTGGGAATATTATTTAAATTTTGAACTCGAAGACCAACTTGAGCTTATATAAAACTTTAGAATATGTGCATACCAAAAAGGAGTTGTAGATGGGGAGTTCTCAAAGCAATATGAAGCAAGCCTTCCAACCTTTCTCACCGAATTCAATCAAGACACTGAAAACATCTTGTCATCGATACCCTTAATCTTTTTTTTTTTTACAATTTTTTTCCGAACTCTGCTCTAACAAACTCTTCCCACTACATTATACCATTAATCTTCATTTACTTGCTATCCATAAATTAGATGCAACAGCTCGATATGCTATTAAAAAAGTCATTTACATTTTCACTTTTTCCAGACTGAGAAACAGAAAGCTTCATGCATTCAAGAAATTTCGCGCTTATTAATCAGCTGGAGCAAAATAAACTAAACAACTCAAAGAAAAATAACACAAAAACAATTGCAATATGAGAACCACCATAATAGATACAGATAAGCAATAAACCAGTTTAAAAGACAATCATATGCAACAATTACACTATGTAAATTAACGTAGGAGATGTACACAGAAGCAAAAACCCACCAGGGAGAGGCATGGCGCCTTGAGGAGCACCGGTGGGCATGGCCGCGTATCCATTAGGCATCGGCGCGTACGCTCTCATGGGCTGCATCTGGTAATGCATCATATGCGGCGGCACCGACGACGGCGGGGGCACACCGGGAGCCATCGGAGACCCAGAGCTCACGCCGGGCGGCTGGACACCGGGGTTTTGATAATTCGGATTGGGCACGCCGGGGCTCGGTATTGGAGAGAACTGAGGAACCGGCCGAAACGACGGCGCCGACGGAGGTCCAGCACCGGAGACCTGTTGTGGAGCGTAGGAGATCGAAGGAGGCGGCGGCGGCAGTGGCAGAGACACCAGAGGCGGATTAGAATTAGGGTTTACGGGGATGGGGATTGATGACGATAATGGCGGTGGTGTGGAAGCGGGAACAGGATCCGGTTGGTTAGACTGGGGTTTGGGGGTATCGGATTGGGGATTGGATTCTAGGTTTGTTGCTGGAGAGGAAGGAGCGTCCGCCATGGCTACAACGCACGAGGTCTGAGAAAGAAAATGAAATCTTTGAATAGATTTCGGTATTTCTGTGCCCTAGGAGAGAGAGAGGGAGGAAGTGACACAGAGAGAAGAACTGGGGAGTTTATGTAACAGCTATAGAGTTCGTGTTCCGAAAGAAGTAAATTTGTTTGCTCCATGGTACGCGTGTCGCCTTTGGAGTGGCTATAAAAATTTAAAAAGACCATACAGACCTTTGGTTTGTGATCTGCGCGGTCCCTCATTGGTGGAGACAGTTCTTTTGTTTTGATGTTTCTGTTGTGCCGTAATAGCCTGCTGTTTGTCGTAGATTACCAAATTATGCAATTTTGTGACGTCGTCTCGTTATCCTCCTTCTTAAATGTTAAAACGACCTACTTGCGCGCCGTTTTTCTTCTCTTTTGACCTTTCGTTTACCCTTTTTTTTTTAGTACAAGAAGAGACTCGGGCTTCGTTGGGGGGGATTGCTTTTATTATTATTATTATTATTTATAAAAAATCAGCTTCACTTTAAATTAAGTAGTTTAAGGTGTTTGGTAAAAAATATATAAATTATTTTAAAAGCAATGGCATCTTAGAGCATCTCCAAGGTAGATGTCAAATACCAAACATCAAATTTAAATTTGATAGCTACATGACAATTTGACATCTTACACAGCTTTACACTCTACCCGATATGTCAAATTAAATTATTATTTTATTACATTTAAGTGTTGATTCATTTTTCATTAAAAAGAAAAGAAAAAAAAAATATTCATTTGACATCTTGCTTTTGGGATGTTAAAAATAACATCTCAACCTCCAGCCTTCATTCCACATCAGCTTTGACATATAGGTTGGAGTGATGTGAGATGTTATTTCTAGCTGTTAAATATCTATGTGGCACATTTGATACATCGGTTGGAGATGCTCTTAACAACAGCTTTTAAAGCAGACTATAGGTTGCTTTTGAAAGCTGTTTTCATAATAAGCAGAGAATAGTGAATTTTTCAACTCAACCTCTACCACCACCACCACCACCGCATGGTTAGCAAATAACACTTTTAATATCATGTCCTTTTTAGTCATTATCAATATTTACAATAGTTTTATATGAAAATTTACCAACAACATCATGTCAATTTTAGTCATTATCCACAATTACAACATTTTTAGATTAAAATTTACCAAATAGTTTTTACATTGCTTTTTATACTAACACTTTAAAATTAGTGTTGATCAAACATGGAACTACTTTACAACTCATTATTTTCAAAGCACATCAGAAGTAGTTTTTTTTAAAAAGTGACACACAAAATACCATGGTGTTATAAGAGTTCGAACTTGAGACCACTAGTATGTAAGTTGTGGGGTCTTTTTCCGTCAGAAGGGTTGTCCGAGTTTGTTAATTCTTGGACTGACATAGGGTGGTGAATAAAGCTTCGTTGCCCCTTTTTCCGAGTAAGCGAAAACTAGGCCCAAAGCATCCCGAAGGAGAAGCAAGTCTTAGGGAGAGTACTCTGTTGTTCTTTATGGGGGCTTTTTCGTTCCGGTAGTTACTGATGGGCATAGGCTGTTGTAAAGATCCAAATGTATGAAATTGCCCCTTGAGTCTGAGTTCAAGAATCATACCCCAAGAATGCTTCGAAATGGTAGCTAAGCCTTAGGAAGCACCTTGGTTACTTTCACCAGCAAAACTAACAGTCACTTACAGATAAATACTTAGCTTGGCATGAGAGGCTTGTGGCATAGAAGTAAAGTAGTCATGAGTTTAGCATTAAAGAGAGAGAAGGCTGTGATTTCCTATGAGAAACAAAGGTTTAAGGTACGGGGAGAATGGTATTTTGAGAGGATTCGTTGAAGAGAGAGAGAGAGAGAGAGAGAGAGAGAGAGATGGGAAAAACAATGAGTGTTGAGTAATTTTCCGGCAACCTAACAAAAGTTATGTCAAACTCTGGAATGACTTGCCATAAGAGAAAATGGGAAGAGATGGAGGAATGGGGCTCGAAATTGCAGAGGTTTCAGAAATGAGAGTTGAAGCTTGCTATTTGGATGTGTCTTATTTGATGGGTAGGAGATGACCCTTTTTATAGCCCCTGGAAGCTCCTCCATTCCAAGAAACCCTAATGGTTTCTCTCCAATTTTGCCAAGTCTCCCCTTTCATTTCTCTTCTCTCATTTCAATTCACCCCATTTTGTGAAATCTTCATCTATCCAAACACACAAAGACAAGATTTTTGGGAGCTCTAAGGCCTTTCCGCAGCTGCTTTAGTGTTGAACTCTTATTTTTGACTACCTCTTCACCTTCTTTCCTTCCCTCTTCCATGGAAAGAGCTGGTAGGAGAAAGAAATTGGTAAGGGCATTGGTTTGAAGGGTGCTTCTAGTCTGCGCACGCTAATACCCATTGGTTCTTTGCGTGTTCTACCTTGATGTTTGTTTTTGCCCATGTGCTGGAGCCTCCCAGTAGCTTACATACATGGATATTTTGGTTTTCATCGTGGCTCTTATTTCCAGCTAAGTGCTGGAGATTATAAATATTTTCTTTGGTTGCTTGGGCTTTCCTAAGGTGATGGGTTAACCCATTTAAGGAAATGAGCTAATTTCCTAAAGTGATAGGCTATTTTATTGAGATGATTGGCTAATTTTTCTCTAGAGTATTGAGTTTTTTTCTCTAGAGTATTGGACTTTTTTCTCTTTTTTATATTAACCCATATATTTGGGCTCAAGAAATGAGCTTGAGTTTTGGGGCTCCCAAGCAGCCAAAAACTTCCATTTCTCGGCTCATCAATGAGCCTCATGAAAGCTCATTGCCATCCATACCACAACCCGCTCAGCAAGGTCCGGGCATTTGCGTGGCTTGGGCCCACTTAAGCTTGTAGCATGACTATGTGCAAAATAAGGTTTTTCTGCTTGGCATTGCATGTCGATAGGCGTGCTCGAATATTATCGCTTTGAAAAGGGATATGAAGTTTGAGGGAATAATTAGCATGGGCTTGTAAGTGCCTTTTATAAGCTAATTTCAATTCTTAGCGTGATGGATTGCATATTTATTTGGCATGGCACGTGGTCGTAGCTCGTGCAAGCGTGCATAACAAATTTCGCGTGTTCCTAACTAGATCTTTTCTTAATAAGGTCTCACATTTGCCCATGAATTTATTTGGGCCCAATCTTAGATTTTTTGGTCTCAGCATTAGCCCCCTTAATTATTAGGGCCATGGATAAGCGCTGGAATGGTCAAAATAATTAAACCCAACCCAAAAATCAAATTCATAAGCTCCAGCAGTTATTTGTGGTTTCCTAGATACCAACTTCCTCTTTCTTCTTTTATTATTTCTCCCTTCTTCTCATTCCTTTTTATGCGCCCCAGAGTAAATCTCTCCCCACAGCCTCCATCTTCTTTTTCCTTTTCTTCCTCCAACGAACTCACAGAGAGAGAGAGAGAGAGAGAGAGAGAGAGAGAGAGAGAGAGTGAGTGAGATCAAGAAGAACCGCCTGTCTACAGCCGCTGGAAGGGAGCTCGAGCCGAACTTGACTCCATCATCCCCCCCTAACGAAGAAACCTACTTGTTGTTAAAAGAGATCTCCTTGTGCAAACTTTTCTTCTAAGAATCCTTGATTTCCCCATTTCTTGTTACATCTGAGGCTATCCTTTGAAAGGATTAACAAGGTATGCCCTTTTCTCTTGAAATTTCTTGAATTTATTAAGGGGTTTGTTGGGCTTTCCATCCATATGGGCTTTACTCTTCGTTTTGGCAGCCAAGCACTCAACTCCTTTGACCCATCCATCTTTTGTTGTCGCCGCAACAAGGGTACTCAGAGCGTAGGCGCTAGCAAGGAAGGGCTTTCGTTAGTTTTGGGGTTCTCCCTTTTTTGGTGTTTTTGCAAGCTACTGGAAGGGTGCCAAAATCTTGAGGAGATAGGCTAACCTTTACTGCGTGCTGAGCCTCTTTGTGCTGGTGAAAAAGGCTAACCTTTGTGTGATCCACTGCTTCCTGATTGTAGATTTATACGTTTCTGTCACATGAAAGGAGAAGTACCGAAAGCTTGTGTCGCGTTCCTCGTTGCTAGAAACTTTGAGCGCACTGGCTTTGTAACTTGAGTATTTAGACTTCTATCTTGGTATTTCGGTAAGTAGTTCTGCTCTTTTGCTAGAAACGGGAGTCATTCTTTTGACTTTGTAGGAATAGACATAGATTGGTGTTTGGCCTAGGCTCATTCTTCTTGTGAATATGTGCTTGATTAGCTTTGGGCTTTCTCCTATGTCGCGGGAAAAGGGCTGTTAAGAAATTGACAGAATGCATGTTTTGCAATACTTGAATTTTGTATTATTGGGAGAGAATTTTGCTTGCCATGAGAATTGCTTGTCGATCATGGGACGTGGATTTTGCTTGCCATGGGTAAATTGCATGCTGCTTGGGCATTTGCTTAAGCATTTCTGTTGGTGTGAGCTTGACTTGCCATGCTTGGCGTATATTTTGTGTGTGCTACGTTCTTGACCCCTTTTTTTTATTGTTGTTGAACTATATGCATCACGAGCGTATGCTTGTAACCACATGATTAATATATAGGATAAAGGCTGTTGAAAGCTTGAGGAAAGCACAATTTGTTTCTTTTTATGAGCTTAGAGCTTGGAAATGGATAACTATTTATTTTTTGGCTTTATAGGGATAGATATAAACATGTGTATGATGGGTCTGCAAGAATGCCGTGTAACTCAAATGGACTTTTTTTTGTTTTTGTGAAAAAGGTTACTAGGAGGTAAGTAGTGTTTAGATTGTAACACTTGTTTTGTGAAAAAAGGTTTGCTGGAATGATTGATTGAGCATGGAATGGGAACTTTACTTGTCATGAGCTCAAGTAATAGATTGCATGATGCTTCGAAATTCTTTTTGTTTTGTTTATGCATTTCTCTTGGCATGAGATAGCTTGCTTTGCTTGGCCTGTGAAGTTTATATTGCTTGCATGCTAGTGTGGAGATTGCTTGGCTTTAACACAGAGAACTAGTTTTATACTATGCCCTTTTATAGCATATTCTTTGTTGGCAATTCTGGCAGGGATTCATGTAATAAGTCATAATGACCTCAGTGATGGCCTATTTCCCCTTACACAATGGGCTGAAGAAGAGACGACTACCTTCATCGCTTAGAAACACTTGCTAAGATTTGATCATAGGCATTTGGTAAGCTTTGGAGGCTACTCTTATTTCCAAGTGTTGTATAGAAGAAATGTATGTTTCCGGTGGCCCTTTTATTTTTTCTATACCCTTGCAGCATCACTAAGGGCTAGTCAGAGTGGTTCAATTGTGAGTTGGCAGATTCAACTACCAAAAATGTTTTGCAAATGATTGAAGGTTGCAAAGGAAACATCGTTTTCGACCTTACAGTAGTATGCTGAAAAGGTTCGAGCATGTGTCTTATTAGGACCTCGTATGGACTTCCTGGTTGATACTTAGAAGAAGTTATAGCACACACTATTTTTAAAGCATGAGCTACTTGTAGCATAAAGATGCATGCCCAATCCCTTTAAGCAAGAGTTGTCGTTAATCCGTTGAGCCTTAAAGAACACCGAATTGGAGAGCAAGTACCATAAGCTGCGAAACCTTCTCCTTGACAAATGAGCTACTGGTAATGGCACTTTGGTGTGTGGTGGAAACATCAAAAGGACAATCTCTCTGCGCTTCTTTTAGTCATGCACCGTGACATAATTGAGGTACCAAATTTTCCTTGTTTGCACCGTGATATATAAATTTTTTTTTAGCAAGGCTATATCTTCCAGCACCATCTTTCTTTAACACCTATCCTTATTTCGCCTTGCAGGTCGCATTTCTTTGTTGTGGGGGGCTGGCTGGCTTGGTGCGTTGTAGCTTTTCCTTTTGAAACTGCAGGGTGTATCGATCTCTAGCATGGTTGATTGCATTTGAGCTTGAGTCGTACCCTTTTGTTTTTTTTTGGAGAGCCTAAAGCTCATGTTGTTGGAACCTTGAAACACATAATTGTTACATACTTTCTGCCAGAACTTTTCGATTTAGAATGCTTGAGATATTAAGTTTCGGCCTATTTTGTACGTTTTTCTTGGTTGGAAATAATGAAATGCATGAATTGTTAAGGTTTGGAATGCATTGAGATAATGATTTCCAGCTTGTTTTGTACACTTCGCTTGGTTGGAAATAATGAAATGCATGAGTTGCTTGAGATGTTAAAAGATTGGGTTGTGGTAGGTGCAAAGCACATGCTGCCAATTTTTTTAAAAGATCACAAAAATGTTTGCCCCATTGCCTCTATGTTTTTTTTTAATAAAAAAAAACATGTTTTGCAAAACAGAAGAAGGTAAAAGCAATGAAAGAATTCTAGAGGCTTTTTTATTTTTCCAAAATACTCCATTCTCATTGCAAATATCATCTTACACCTTGGCATGCCATAATTGTGGTGCATTCTACAAAAGTTGTGAAAGCATATGGTGAAAACACAAAAGGAGTTCATCTTTGAAATAATTTTGAAAAGCCAAAAATAAAAGGATAGGTGCAAAAACAACTCAATAGTGATAAGGCTTTGAGTCACTTTGCATTGATGAATACTCCAATCAAATCAAGCCCCCAAGTATGAAAAGGCCAAGGGGTGTGCATGACTTGTAATAGCATGAAAGCTTGTGGCTTAGGTTGACATGTGTTGTATAAGGCTACCATGCTTTGTAGAGATATTTAACAGAGGCATAGCTGCTGCTTTACTTGCATGGAGCTCATAACCCAACCAATCACAGAGTGATTTGCAGCTAATAACCCATTGTACTTTCTTCAACTTCTGTGAGGTTATGAGAGGTTACGGCAGCTGTCTCTTGATAATCTTGCTGCTAGAATGTCCAATGTGAATACTTCGCTGCTGGAACCATTCTACCATTCCTTAGCAAGCAGCCATGAGGTGTTATAGCTCGAGGATTTTGAATATTTATGCCAATAGGCTTTCTCCATGTTTTCGCAAGGCTCCCAAATAGTCTTCGATGGCTTTGAGTCATTCTTCCACGGGTGGCACAATGCATCGTGGTCGTGCAAGTCATCAAAGCATGTAATGATAGCAGCCATCTCCTTCTCCCTTCGTTTCGACAAGGGGTCTTCGTTAATAGCTTGCCTCTTAAAGGGTAGCTCAAAAGTTCCGTCATATGTCTCGACGTGCAAGATCTTCCTCAAAGTTTGACAAGCGATGGTTGGATGACCCACAAATTAATGAAAACGGAAGTACCTAAGATCACCCTTTTCCTATCTAGTAGGGACTTTTATAAGGCTTAGGGAGTTTGATTGCACCATGAACAAACATTGTATTAAGAATGGCATGAAATTCTTCATCTTTGAACGGCAATGACGGGTACATCTCCTTCTCTTTTCTTTTGCGTGAATTTCATGAATTGTAGTCACTGGATGATTTGGCATCCTCATCTAATCTCTTGTGTGCTTCTTCCTTTTTATTCTTCCAAGCTTCCTGCCCAGTTAGCTTGACAGACATGCTTGTTTTTCTTATTGCTTCCAGCAACCGAGAAAATTGGCTGATGCTAATATTCTCCAAATACTTTGTAATCTGCCACGATGTTGCTGATACAAATTTCAACAAGTGCTTCATTATCCTTATCATCATAGCAATCTAGAGCCAGGTCCCGGAACCTACGCATGAAGTCCACGGGAACTTCCACATGCTTTTGGCAGGTGCTGTTGAGTTGAGTGGTAGTAACTCTTTCCTCATGCTGGAAGTATTTCTTACAGAATCTGCTTGCTAAATCTTCCCAAGAGCAAACAGAGCCTAGTGCCAATGTTGTGTACCACATATAAGCATGATTAGTAAGGCTTTTTGAAAACTCTCAGAGCCAAAGATTATAATCACCAGCATGTGGTCCCAAAACATCAATGAATCGGTTGACATTCTCTTTTGGGCTTCCTTTTCTTCCATAAAAAAAGACTAAGCTTGGTGCCTCATAGCCTTTAGCATACGGCTGTTGGAGTAAGCTTGATGGATACGGTGGCTGAGGAACATACTTCCAATTCTCCTGGTTTCGGCTTAGCTCATTCTTTAGCATGGCAATGACATCTTGGGTGACAAAAGATGACCCCTTTTGTTCAGAACCCTTTCCGGCAGCAGCAAATTCCTCTTGGGGAGGTCTTTCGTTTTCTTCGCTTAGCTTGGAGACTGAGCTTTTTAGCTATTTGATTGTGTCTACCATCTCTCTTTGGGTTTCCCCCATAGCATGGATGGCTGCAATGAGGTCTGAAAGGGTAAAAGCTCTCTCACTTGCATGTTCTTATTCTCTAGGAGAGTTATTTTACCTTAATTCCGAGTTATCATGGTTTGGTCCGTCTTGGGAAGCCATGGTATTGCTTCTAGTTATCTTCTTTGGAGACATCAGTGCAGATAATGGCATAATCCCCAGCTGAGTCGCCAATTTTTGTGGGGGCTTTTTCATTCCGGCAGCTATTGATGGGCTTAGGCTGCTATAAATAACTAAATGTATAAAATTGCCCATTGAGTTTGAGTTCAAGAATCATACCCCAAGAATGCTTCTAAAGGGTAGCTGAGCCTTAGGAAGCACATTGGTTACCTTTACCAGCAAAACTAACAGTCGCCTACAGATAAATACTTAGGTTGGCATGAGAGGCTTGTGGCATGGAAGCAAAACAGCCATGAGTTTAGCATTAAAGAAAGATAGGGCTATGATTTCCTATGAGAAACAAGGGTTTAAGGTAATGGGAGAAGGGTATTTTGAGAGGATTCATTGAAGAAGAGAGAGAGAGAGATGGGAAGTACAATGGGTGTGTTGAGTAATTTTCCGGTAGCCTGACAAAAGCTATGTCTAACTCTGGAATGGCTTGCCATAAGACAAAATGGGAAGAGATGGAGGAATGTGGCTCAAAATTGCAGAGGTTTCATAGATGATAGTTGAAGCTTGCTCTCTGGATGTGTCTTGTTTGATGGATAGGAGATGTCCCTTTTTATAGCCGCTGGAAGCTCTTCCATTCCAAGAAACCCTAATGGTTTCTTTTTAATTTTGCCAAGTCTCCCCTTTCATTTCTCTTCTCTCTTTTCGATTCACCCCATTTTGTGAAATCTTCCTCTGTCCAAATACACAAAGACAAGATTTTTGGGAGCTCTAAGGCCTTCCCGTAGCTACTTCAGTGTTGAACTCCTATTTTTGATTACCTATTCACCTTCTTTCCTTCCCTCTTCTATGGCGAGAGTTGGTAGGAGAAAGAAATTGATGAGAACGTTGGTTTGAAGGGTGCTTCTGCTCTACGCACGCTAATACCCATTGGTTCTTTGCGTATTTAACCTTGATGTTTGTATTTGCCCATGTGCTGGAGCCTCCCAACAACTTACATACAGGGATATTTTGGTTTTCATCGTGGCTCTTGTTTCCAGCTAAGTGCTGGAGATTATAGATATTTTCTTTGGTTGCTTGGGCTTTCCTAAGGTGATGGGTTAATTTCCTAAAGTGATAGGCTATTTTATTGAGATGATTGGCTAATTTTTCCTAAAGTATTGGGCTTTTTTCTCTAGAGTATTGAGTTTTTCTCTCTAGAGTATTGGACTTTTTTCTTTTTTTTATGTTTACCCATATATTTGGGCTCAAGAAATGAGCTTGAATTTTGGGGCTCCCAAGCAGCCAAAAACTTCCATTTCTCGGCTCATTAATGAGCCTCATAAAAGCTCATTACCATCCATACCACAACCCTCTCAGTAAGGCCCGGGCATTTGCGTGGCTTGAGCCCACTTAAGCTTGTAGCGTGACTATGTGCAAAATAAGGTTTTTCTGCTTGGCATTGCATGTCAATAGGCGTGCTCGAATATTATCGCTTTGAAAAGGGATATGAAGTTTGAGGGAATAATTAGCATGGGCTTGTAAGTGCCTTTTATAGGCTCATTTCAATTCTTAGCATGATGGATTGCATATTTATTTGGCACGGCACGTGGTCGTAGCTCGTGCAAGCGTGCATAATGAATTTCGCTTGTTCCGAACTAGATCTTTTCTTAATAAGGTGTCGCATTGGCCCATGAATTTATTTGGGACCAACCCTAGATTTTTTGGGCCTCAATATTCTTCTAGCGGCTGTGTGTTTTGTGTTGACGTTTTCGGCAGCTCTGAAAATGGGTGAAGATGATTTGCTAATATTGTACTGAGATTATATGAGCTTGGCATGAGAACTTGGAGTGTGGGAGCTAAAGACCCACAAGTTTAGCAAATGAGCATGCTTGTGCTTGGCTTGGTGTTTGATATGCTTGAGTTTGAGTGTTGAGAATTTTTTGTTTGAAGCTATGGCTATGGTGATTTAAGAGTTTCAAGAGAATGAGAATAGAAGGAAAAGCTTGATGCTTGAAGGCTATGATGTTTATAGCTTGGAAGAGTATGAGGATGAAGGAAAAGCTTAGAGTTATGCTTGGAGAGGCTTTCTAGGAAAGATGAAGGATTTCAAGGCTAAGAAAGTAGGAGTAATGGATGTAATGGCTGCTGGGATGCTTACAGCAGCCAAGAGAATAGGCCGATGGTCGCTAGGATTCTTGCAGCAGCCAACAGATGAAGGTTGATAGCTGAGGAATAACTGGGATAGTTGCTGGGATGCTTGCAGAAGCTAAGAGAAAGGTGATGGCTATTGGGATGCTTGCAGCAGTCGAAGGATAGATGGGTTTTCATGGTTGCTGAGAGGTTTCCAGCCACCAAGAAAAGTTGTTTTTACTTGGGCAATGCCACCCAATTTATAAAAGGTGAATGCTCTTTTTAGTTTCTAAAAGGTGAAAGGAAGTGTTGGAACCAACCTATTTCCAACAAGTAAAAGGGAGCATTGGGACATTATTATTTTAGCAGGTAAAGCTAGGCATTGGAAAATGACTATTTCCTATGGATAAAAGGAAGTGTCAGAATTGGCTTGTTTCTAGCGAGTAATAGGGAGTATTGGGACATTATTATTTCCATAAGGTAAAGCTAGGCGTTGGAAAATGACTATTTCCTATGGGTAAAAGGAAGTGTCAGAATTGGCTTGTTTCCAACGGGTAATAGGGAGTGCTTGAAGAATATCTCATTTGCTCACTCACATTGGAGAACTCCAAGTAATGGGTTTGGACTTTGGTGCTCCTAAGTAGCTAGCCAAAAGTCTCTATTATCCAAGAGCTTTCGTGAGCCTTGTGGACCTCTGTAACATTCCACACCATAATCTCTCGTGCAAGGCTAGTAAACCACATGACTTGGGTTCATGTGAGCTTGGTCTGTGATTGGCATAGGAAAAATGTATTAGCGTGACATTGAGTTATTTGGCATGTGCTTGGGATGCTTGGACATGTGTTATAGGGACTTGAGCTTTTGTGACCGTGCTTAGTGACATATCGGAATTAAAGGAATAGGTTTTTTGGCATGATATGGATGCTATTAGAATTTGTATAACAGCTTGCGTACATATTTATTTTGTCGAATTAATTCCCAAAAATATAATTGGAATTAATTCATGACCAATTTATTCCTTATTTCGTACGTCATATTGGGCTTTAAATGCTTTTGGGCTTGTTGTGATTTTTTGGGGCTTCAGCATAAGTTAAGACCATTTTTCTATTGGACTGAACTCTGTTGGCTTTCATTTACTATCTTTGATTTGTGATCGTCTTATCATTCATTTATTGTTATCTCCCACCATGTAACATGACAACATTGATTAGGCTTCATCACTAAGAGAAACACCATCGACAATTTAGTTTGTAAAAACCTCAAATTTTATAAATATATTAGAATGCAAACTTTCAATCCAAAAATAATTGACAATGAGTAGAGAGACCCTTTTAAGCACAATTGCAAATGCATGCGACATAGTCTCAACTAAGGAGTAAAATATCGATAATGGTGACAAAATATTAAGGATGTTATTGTTTTTCGAGTCTAGGGTATTTTAGAACATATCTATGCACATATCATATAAGTATCGATAATATTGAAAAATATCGATGTCGATAATTTTTCTCACACTTTATTAACATTTGGCCAAAATATTGCTATATTATTGATAATATTGAGATGATAAAGACGGTGAAAAATTTGAAGAGTTATTTACATACCCCTTGAGGTTTTTTGTGTTTTCATAAAACCCTATCAGGTCTCAAAAATTACATGAACACCCCTTGAGGTTTTAGTTTATTTTCACAAAACCCCTTTTCGTTGATTTGTTTGTCCAAAAATTGATGATTACATTGAAAAAAAAACTTATGCAAATGACAAAATTAACCTCAATGAAATATATGCAATCTAAACTCAAATGCCAACTTTGTCATTTGGAGAATTTTTTTTTGTATAAAATCATTAATCTTTGGATGAAAAATCAATGAAAAAGAGTTTTGTTAAAACAATTAAAAACCTTAGAGGGTGTTCTTGTAATTCCTTAAACCTCAAGTAGTTTTGTGAAAAAACCGAAAACTTCAGCGGGTGTTAGTGTAAATAACTCATCATGTGGTACTAAGTCACTAATGTATCTTACCGTGCAATATATGAAGTGTAAAATATTGTAGTAAATTATTATAAATAAATGATTATGGTGTGTTTAATATTCTTTCATTAATTACTACATATTTTTTACACTCACAATGTTTGTCAACTCATTATATAATCAACTTAAATAAGTTAAACTCATCATGCAATGCATTTCCTTCCAATTTTTGTGTGGAGGGGGAAGGTGGAAGGTGGTTGCTAGGGTTGGGAGGGGTTGCTAGGTTTTTAAGTTTTTTTTTTAAAAGTTAATTTATTTTTAAACATTTAAAATAATTTCTCCAGGGAAAATTTTTATTATTTAAAAACTACCCATGCCACGTCAGCGGAATTAATAATTTTCATCTGAAAACTAATGGAATGAGGCAACTTTGGTCACAGAATGGAAGTTTAGGAGGAATATTGAGTTATTTAAAACGTCTGGGAAAAAACTGAGACAATTTGGAAACCACATGGGGTATTTCAACAAATAAACCTAATACTTTTAAAATAAAAAATAAGGAGTAATTATTGAATTAGAATCATGAACTGGTTAACCACAAGGTGTGGTGCAGTTGGCAAATTGCCGCATCTAGTTGGTGAGTTACCTAGTGCCTCAATGGCAGAGGTTCGAAACCCGTTGGAAACACTTTGTGGCAAAGGGCAAGCTGAACCCTGAGTGGGGATTAATTTCACGCTTCGGGTGTGGGGACACCTTATGATATTTACCCAAAAAAAAACTCATGAACTGGTTGGGCCAGCCCACGATCAATGGAATGGGCTCATGGGAAATGCTTACGATGAATTTAGGGTTTAGCAGGCAGACTAGAATTTAGGCCATTTTAATTCCCAGATGACCTGGACCTTAAGGGGCAAAACTCAAACTTCGTGTCGTGAAAATGAAAATGATGAAGACGAACCCAATTTTGGGGTGATGATAAAGATGAAACAGAAACGCATAAATGGTGTGTCATCCTCTGTGTGCTGCTTGACCTCAATATTGCAAAAGACGAAAAAGAACAAGACTTTACTGACTTAACAGTCCCAAATACGAGAGAGAGAGAGAGAGAGAGAGGGAGGCAGTGAGTTTGTGAGAGAATCACAATCAGAGAGAGAGAGAGAGAGAGAGTGAGTTTCAGAGAGCCCTCATTTTTGGGCTTTCACATTCCATGCATGGAAGAAGAGAAGGGTAAGAAGGGGGGGGATTGATATTGACTGGAACAACGTCTTGGACTCTCGCGATGACCATTGCGACCCACTGGAGAGAGTGGCCGTGCCGGAGCCTAAGCCAAAGACCTCCACTGCCGACGAGCCACCTAAGCAGTCTGGAATGGGTTACGATCAGCAGCGAGATCGTTTATACGAGGACATGCCCGATTCCGAGCTCGATGATTCGATTCGTCGGAACAAGCTTACTCGGCAGAAGATGGCCCACAGATTGCCTGACAAAGGCGAAAAGCTTCAAATTGCTCTTAAGCGGATGGAGGACGAATGGGAGCGACGGAGGACACTAAGACGGGAGGGGACGGTGCGTTTTGGGTTGCTTAGACTTTGATTCTTCCGCTTTGCTTGCTTTTTGTGTAGAGTTTAAAGATTTTTGGCTGGCCGTACCTTATGTTCTGTTTGGTTTCCCATAAATGGAGGAAAAATTGAGCGGAAAGTTTTAATTTTGGGTTTATTTTTTGGCTGCTAGTTTGTGCCGGTACTCACTAAATTAAGATGATAAGTTTGCAAAGGTTTGTGGGCTGAGTTTTGTCATTGTAAAAGACTGATGCTTTTCTGGATTACTTCGTAGTATTGGAGCCTCATTTGTGGTTTTATATCAATTCTGCTTCATGGTAATCAGAGTTCTCAATGTTCATGTAAAGTATTTATCAAGCTGGGTTCTGACTCCACTCGTTTTCATTGAATAGGGTACTGGTAAGTGGGAGAAGCCCACACAAGCCGTGATCTCTAGAAATATAGGTAAGGTCATTCATGGATATCTTCTTTTGACTAGAATTATAGGTTGCATTTAATTTGCTACTGTTGTATTGCAAATCTCATTATATGTTTTTCAAAACTCCTGTTTAAGAAACCTTAATGTGACTTTTAGGTGCTTCTATTGGCTCCAGTGAGGAGGCTTCATTCGCTTCCCTTTTTAAACGAAAGCTGGAAGAAAATGTAATGAGCTCCGTTTAGCTTTATAATTTTTTAAGTGGCCTCTAAAGTTGGAATACAATCACTTCATTCTTAATCTATTATGCAGTCAGATTCTAGGACAGCTAGTGAATATCATGGAGAATCATCTTTACATCCCTGTAACCAGCAGAACATGAAAAACAATGGAGAGTTATTGCAAAAGGGAGGACATAAAGGTCGTTCTTCATCAAGATTTTTGCGTCGTCAATGCCCTAGCAATTTCTATCATAAAAGAGATAAATGCTCTCTTTCAAATGGTGATCATAAAGGCATGGATTCTTCCCCTTATCCACTTCGCCACTGTGGGGAGAACACGTCTAGTTGTGCCACAAGGTAACATTCCTATATGCTTCTTTTAGCAGGCTTGAATAGCTATAATGACTACTACCCCTTTAGTTTGATAATTTGTATTTCTTAATATATATATATATATTTATATTTATATATTTTTTCTGGCAGGAATGATGCTTCTCAAGTAAATGGTTTGAGGCCTAAGAAGGTACAAGATCTTGTGTTATATTTCATTCTGCATTTTATCTCTTGTCACCTCCTTTTCAGTTGGAAACTACTGTTATTATTCAGAAGTTTTCTTGATGGGTGAAGTTTTGTCCACAATTGGATGTATTTCGGTGTGATCAGTGGACCGTGTGTCCTGCCACAGGGTTTATCCTGTCACTTCCAGTCTTTCTTCATTTAGTAATCAGATCCATAGTTTTCATGATTATAACAGGCTCAGAACATTGTTGTTGTGGATGACGAGGAACCTCAGTCTATGGACACGACAGAGGAAGCAGAAGAACTTCCTGAATGGTATCTAGAATTTCAAATTTTTTTTCACCACGTTTCAGACTTAACCAATATGAAGTTATTATCAACAATAACCTGTCTACCTTGGCTCTTTTTCCAGCATGAAAGAGACTAAGATCTACTACCCATCAAGGTACATAATTTCTTTGTGGATGATGCAAAGAAACCTCTTTGAATGTTGAGGATTTAGAGTACTATTGTTGATCCTATGCTTCATTTATTTATTTTATTCAGAAGAGATCCAGAATCTGTAGAAATTTGTTATGCGGACATCAAGTGCCTTGATCCTGGATGCTACTTGACATCGACTATTATGAACTTCTACATCCGGTAAACTTAATTAGCACCATAAATGCCTATTTTCTGGACAAAATAATGGAAACGTATAATCCTTTCTTTAATGTTGAATTTGTTTTCCTCATTTAGTAATAGTACACATGTATCTCTTTTCTCATATCATATATATGCTGTTGTAATATCTGAAGGCAATGTGTGGAGTAATTTCTCTGGATGTGTTTGGCACTATCAAGTTTAAATACTTACTCACTTGTGGGATCTTTTGACTAGATATCTACAGCAACAAGCATCCTCAAAGGACAGGGGAATATTCGACTGCCATTTCTTTAATACATTTTTTTACGAGAAGCTCAAAGAGGCTGTCGCATATAAGGTAATTGTTTATCTTGTTCTATCTTCTGTGGTTGATATTTCTTTTTTAAAAATTGGGATAGTTGTTAGAACTTCAGAATCCTTTATATGTATTAAAAAATGGTCACCTATATGGCTGAGACTTTGTAAGTTTTAAGAGAGTAAGACAACTATTCTTACCATATTATCTCTTTCTAGTTTCATAAACAGTGGAACATATGTGGCATCGTTTGAGTTATGCACTTTTTGGCAGTGACATTTAAAAGTTATTCAAAGAAGAGCTTACCTTCTCTCTCTCTCTTTTTTTATTTATTTATAAAAAAATTACTTATTTGAACATTTTTGATGCAGTGTCTGCATCATGCCCACTTTTCCCCTGCTTATTTTCTGTCTCATTTTCCTTGTACTATGTAGGGGAACGACAAGGATAAACTTTTTGGTAAGTTTAGAAGGTGGTGGAAGGGTGTTAATATATTCCAGAAGGCATATTTACTTATTCCGATTCATGAAGAGTAAGTCTCTCTCTCTCCCTCTCTCTCTTGTTACTCCTAAGAATATGTGCTTGTAGTTGTCAGATTGTGCATGGGTAGATAAACAGTGGCAGATGCCTATATGCTCAAATGCTTTTTCTTCAATTGTTACTTGATATAGTATGAGAGATGAAATGCTGGAAACTGTGTCTGGAAATTTTTTTTTATATATTCCAGCGTGCATTTTCTTTATAAATACTTAGCATATCATAGGTTATTACTTTCGTGGCCAGACTTGCAATCATACACAAGAAGCTTGTTTTAGATATATTTCTACTTGCCACTATCCGAATGATCCTCACAAGAATGTGGTACAAGCCATAAACTTGCAAGCAGATGAATAATATTGTATTAATTTTGGTAGGAGTAAACAGATTTAGGTCTCAGGCGTGGTTAGTTGACTTGACTGCGTTGCCGAGGACAGATGATTTTAGTTTCTACCATTGTTGTATTAGGCCGGATATATACTGTGTCTAACTTTGGTGAGGCTGGATTGATGTGTATGACTTTTGTCGGGTGATTGGTAACAAACACAAAATGAAGTTAGAAAGAGAAAACATTTGAGAAAAAAAGGACTTCTATAAATGAGTGGTTAAATATATTAATATTCATCAATTTTAAATGCTATGATAAACTGATCTGGTGACAATTAGCAATACCTCTAGAAGAATAAAGGAGTTAGATATTGGATATTTGGACATTTTAGTATGCGACTGTTAATTGTTTATTTATACTGTAAATATGCTTTCACTATGTGTAATATGGACCTATTACATTTGCTACATATGCACTATATATGTGTTGTGTTGTTAGAGAAAGCTCATGTATTTTTTTTCTTTAATTAAATGCGCAACATCAAAATTTTGTCATGGAACTCTTTTTAATTATCATGGTATGCTTTCTGTGTCCCATAGCTCATACCTTTGACTTAAATTACTGAACATTTGACTTTATTATGGTAATTGACAGTGTACATTGGAGTCTAGTGATTATTTGTATCCCTGACAAGGAAGAAGAATCTGGACCAATTGTACTTCATTTAGATTCCTTAGGAGTCCATTCTCCCAGATCAGTTTTTCAAAATATTAAAGGGTGAGACAAAAGATGCCCTTCCTGACTCATTGAGATATAATTTTATCATATATTTTCTGCCTGCTATGTTATTTTCAATTAGTCATCACTGGTGGATTTGATACTGATGTGCTATGTAGCTATTTGAAAGAAGAATGGAACTATTTGGATCAAGAAGTCGCCGTTTCAGATATTCCTATTTCAGACAGTATATGGAACCAACTTCCCAATAAAATTGAAGAGAAAAAACTTGCGGTACATTTTGTCCTCACATGCTTCAAATTTAAATGTTAAGATGCCATTAATACTATTTTGAACTGTTTTTATGCCCCATATTACATATCCAATTTGCATATAATTATCAGAATTGCCATGAAATGTGCCCTATTCTTACTCCACGAAAGACACATATTCTTGAGTTTTGTTCCTCCAAATACTTCTGTTTCGCTTGTGTTTTCAACTTAATATGTTTGCATTAGAAGCCTTCTAGTCTTTCAACCAATTGAATCTGTTGACGTTGGATGACCGATATTTAGATTGTTTTCTGGTTTCTGTGTGCAGTCTACAAGTATATCTAATTTCTGACTAGTGTTGTGTTAAAATTGTATAACATCATAAAGCTCTTAGAAATTTAGTGTGAATTGTAAGTTGAAATGGTTGGTAACTGTCGAATAGTACCCAGCTATCACAAAACGAGGGGCCTGTTGGGCTTGAGTGCGTAGCCTTACTTGGTTGGTTTGAAGCTTACCTCTTTTGGTATCTCCTACCAGGTCCCCCAACAGAGAAATGAGTATGATTGTGGTCTCTTTGTACTTTTCTTCATGGAGCGATTCATTGAAGAGGCTCCTCAAAGGCTGCAAAGGAAAAATTTAGCAATGGTACAGCGTTCTTGTGTTCTCAACCTCTCCTTCCTTCTTAAAAAGAAAAGCAATGATCTTATACATGTTTTTTTTTCTCCCTTTCCATATGGCTGTGTTTCTTATGACCTTTCCTTGATTAATTATTTTGAAATCTCAGTTTGGCAAGCGGTGGTTCAAACCTGAAGAGGCTTCCAGTTTGAGAATGAAAATCCGGAAGCTACTCATACAAGAATTTCGAGATGCACATCAGGTTAATTGCTCTAAAGAATCTTCTCCACAGTCTGGTGCTTCTGAAGAATGAATTTGTAAATGGATCCTGACTGAATCTGGTGCAAATGTGGCAACAATGCTGCATTAAATCAGGTGTTCATCCATGTATAGCTCAAACAGCTGTGTAAATGATCTTTTGAGTTTAGAATTGTATAGCCTGGAAAATTGGTTTTAAATGCCATTTTAAAGAGAGGGAGGATACCAGTTTGCCCAGGACAAGGCGTACATCTTAGTCATTTACGTTACTGACCATTCTTGGTGAGTTAGCATGATGCTTCATCAACTGTATAGTAGGAAAGAAAATTAGGGCTAAAAGTCATGGCAGACTTCTTAAGCTAATGTTCACAATTTACATTGTATGTTAAGGAGTGAAGCTGTCTTTTTGAAGAGATTTCCGTCATTTACTTGGTTATAATCTCTCTTTTAGTGTGTTTTTGTCCTTGTTCTGTCTTTCATTTTCACTTCACTTTAATTTTCACTTGCGTTTGTGCTGATGAAACTTAAATGATAAACATTTTCAATCAATTTTTGTCATTTTTTTTTGGGATCAAACTGAAATCAGCTTCATTGACTGCTTAAAATACATCCAGCACAATCAGAGAACTAGAGGAGTAACTTAGTGGCCTCGTTAAAATCTTGCCATAAAAAACCTCCCGAAGGAGGAAAATCCGGTCAAGGAAAGAGTGCCACACTCCTTTCTTTTGTCATTTAATTCAGCAATCTCAACTTAAATATTACGTTGAAATGAGTATGTTAGCGTCTTGAGCCGAAGAAGCTGAAGCAACCTGAAGGAGCCGAAGAAGCTGAAGCAACACAAAGGAGCACTGTTTGACGTGTTACCGCCTCCATTCACTAGTAAAAAAAACCCCTTGCGCGACCAAATTTTGCGTGACGAAAAATTATTTTTTGCTCAAAGTCACTTTGCGCGACGAAACTCAAAACTTCGTCGCTCAAAGTCTTGCGCGACCAAATTTTGCGCGACGAAAAACAATTCGTCGCGCAAAGTCACATTGTGAGACAAACTTTTGCGCGACGACAATACATCGTCGCTCAAAGTGATTTTGCGTGACAAAACAATAAACTTCGTCGCGCAAAGTCTTTACAAAAATAAATAAAATAAAAAATTTATTTTTAAAAATCTTTGCATGACGTAATCCAACATTTCGTCGCCTAAACCAATTTATTTTTGTTTTTTATTTTGTATGCATAACACTTCAGAAATTAAAAGGTATATATATTTATTAAGTAGCTTTAAATTTATTATTTTAGATCAGATCGGATTTTTGTTAGAAAAATATATTATTATAGTTCGGATTGGGTTTTTGATAGAAAATATATATTTTAAATTGATGATCGAATCAGTTCATTGTATTCATATAGGGTCAAGGAGTGTAGCTGTAAAAAAACCATCAAAATCAGAGTTAAAATAACCATTAAATTATGATTTTTCATTTATAACCGTCGAAAAGTTTTGTCCTATTACTTGATCTCGGAATTTTATTTTTTCCGATTTTTGGCGTATATGATCTCAAAGTATAAACAAACAAATTTGACGGTTGGATCGTTGAAACTAGTTTCGTAGAATGCATATGTCATCAAAACAATATATTCACTAACAATTAAGAGTTTATTTATACTTTCGTTAAATATAACATAAGATTTTGTGATATCCACTAGTGTAAATATTTTAAATTGAAGATCAAATTCAGTCATTGTATTCATATAAGGTCAAAGAGTGTAGCTGTAAAAAATCATCAAAATCTGAGTTAAAATAACCTTTAAATCGTGATTTTTCATTTATAACCGTTGAAATTTTTTTGTCCTGTTACTTGATCTTTGAATGTTTATTTTTTTTTCAATTTTTGGCGTATATGATCTTGAAGTATAAAAAAACAAGTTTGACGTTTGGATCGATGAAACTAGTTTCGTAGAATGTGTATGCCATCAAAACAATATATTCACTAACAATTAAGAGTTTATATATACTTTCGTTAAATATAACATAAGATTTTGTGGTATTCACTAGTGTAAATATTTTAAATTGAAGATCAAATTCAGTCATTGTATTCATATAGGGTCAAGGAGTGTAGCTGTAAAAAATCATCAAAATCGAAGTTAAAATAACCGTTAAATCGTGATTTTTCATTTATAACTATCGAAAAGTTTTGTCTTGTTACTTGATCTCTGAATGTCTATTATTATTTTTTCGCGTATATGATCTCGAAGTATAAACAAACAAGTTTGACGGTTAGATCGTTGAAACTAGTTTCGTAGAATGTGTATGCCATCAAAACAATATATTCACTAACAATTAAGAGTTTATTTATACTTTCGTTAAATATAACATAAGATTTTGTGATATCCACTAGTGTAAATATTTTAAATTGAAAATCAAATTCAGCCATTGTATTCATATAGGGTTGAGGAGTGTAGCTGTAAAAAAATCATCAAAATCGGAGTTAAAATAACCGTTGAATCGTGATTTTTCATTCATAACCATCGAAAAGTTTTGTCCCGTTACTAAATCTTTGAATGTTGTTTTTTTGATATTTTTGGGGTATATGATCTTGAAGTATATACAAACAAGTTTGACGGTTGGATTGTTGAATGGTGTGTGGGTATATATATATATATATATATATATATTTATGTGTATGTATATATATATATTTATTAAGTAACTTTAAATTTATTTATTTTGTATGTATAACACTTAAGAAATTGAATAATATATATTTATTAAGTAGCTTCAACCTTATTTATATTTTAAATCGTAAAATAAAATTATTTTATTTTTTATTATTCATAACAATTATTTTTATAAATATTGTGCTACGAACCAATTTTTCGTCTCTCAAAAGTTTGTGCGACCAATAGTTCGTCGCGCAAAACTCTAAAAATTTGGGCGGGTACCCAAAATGGGACGCATGATTTTTTATTTTTATTTAAATTTAAACCTTGCACGACCAATATTTTTCGTCGCACAAAACTTTGTGTGACCAATATATATTTTTCGTTGCGCAAAAATTTAAAAATTTGGTCGAATACCAAAAATGGGATGCGGGAATTTTTTTAGACTTTGCGCGACCAATATTCCAATATTTTTCGTTGCGCAAAACTTTAAAAATTTGGGCGGGTACCAAAAATGGGACGCGGGAATTTTTTTTAATAATATTTTTTTAGACTTTGCACGACCAATAGTTTCCGTTGCGCAAAACTTTGCGTGACCAATATTCCAATATATTTCATCGCGCAAAACTTTGCGTGACCAACAATATTTTTCGTCGCTCAAAGTGATACGGTTTTTAAAACCAAAATAACTCATCCACCATTTTCTCAATGTCTTTCTCTACTCTTACCTCTCCTTTCTCTTTCCCTCTCCCCAAATCACACCCTGTCTCTCACACTCACTCCTCTCACTTAATCTCTCTTCACTCTCTCTTCCTTCTCACTCACTCTCTCATCTCTCTTTCACTATCTCTCACTCCCACTCTCTCTCTCTCTCTCTCTCTCTCTCTCTCTCTCTCTCTCTCTTGCCAAAAGGTATATTCCCTCCAAATTTTAAATTTTTTTTCATTAATGTGTTTTTGGAGTTAGTTTTGAGTTTGTATGGGGTTTGGGGTTGAGTATAGGGTGATGATTGGAGTTTGGGTTGGATTTGTGGTATAACAATTTTAGGGAATATTATGCCAATTATTATTATTATTTTGTTATTTGACCATATATATATATATATATATATATATATTTTTGTAGGGAATCATCGAGACTTTGACGGCTAAAGTTGAGGATTAGGACGCTATCAAAACTTATCCTCCGCCACTACCACCACAATAGACTTGTATTAGGATTTTATTATTGTACTTTGTGTTGAGGCCCAAAAATCCAAGGGGCTAAGCCCAAATTAATCCTTAGCCCAATATGGGTAATTGGATGCAAAATAAGCTCAATCGGGATAAAAGGAAATTTATAAGAGCCGCTAACACAAGCTACAAGCCACGAATCATGCTAAACAAGCACGTGCAGAAGGAGCCAAGGACATACCGATATTACTAAATCACGCTCACATGCTCATTCGGTGCTACTTGGCCCGACTCTAGCCTATAATGGCATAATAAAACCCCAAGCACGAGCATAGAAATCATGCGCATTCTAATACCAAGCTACGTCACGAGCTTAAGTGGGCCCAAGCCACAAAATTAACCGGGGCTTACTGAGGAGGTTGTGGTATGGAAGGTGACAAGCAATCACGGGGCCCATTGAGGGTTCAAGGAACGTAGGTTTCAAAGCCACTTGGGGGCTTTGGAACTCAAGCCCGTTCCTAGAACCCAAGCATATGGGTTAGCATGAGAGAGAGGAGAAAAATTGACCCATGCTCTAGGAAGACACCAAAGAACCCACCAAGATATTTAGCCCAGCCCACATCAATAGAATTAAAGGGAAAGCCTTTCCAGCAGCTTGACGAAAGCCTGCCAAACGTTAGAAGCAACAAAGCCAGAGGACCCAATACCATATGTACAAGCCCAAGCCCAGCAACTTACAAAAAATCTGGCGTCAAGTCCTATTCCCGTTTGAAATCCAAACAATGGTCATAAGGGAGCCATGGCAAGACCAGAGGAAATCCATAGGGGTGAGGGAAGTGTCCATCGGACAAAAGGCTCCATCTCTCCCCTTTTCCTCTGTAAGCTCTGCCTTGGAGAAAACATAAGGAAAGCAGGTGGCGCCTTCCCCTCTATGGGAAAGCCCAGCTGCGTCAAACCGTTGGAACCATAAAGGGTTTCTTACCCATGCTCCTTGGATGGAGAAATTCATCAAAATAGGGCTAGGTAGGAGCTGCCAAGGAAAAAGGAAGAAGAAAACCAAACGAAATTGGAGCTCCTAACGCCTATAAAAGGAGACTTTTGCTACCCAGAAAAGACATCCACAACTCAACGATCCAGACCTTGACCAAGCTTTGTCAAGCAAATCTGGAATTTTCTCAAGCCACCCAAACCTCTCTTCTGTTCATCTTTCTTCTTCTTAGGATAGGGCTCACACTGATATTTCCTCCGTAAGAAACCCACGCTGTTTTCTCTCTCTCAAATTGCTAAACTTGTGAAAGCTTAGCTCCCATGCCACATGCTCCTCAAGCTAAGCCATTAATGAAATCCTCATGCTTATTTGGGTGTTAGTGAAGTGATCCTGAGAGTGTTCTTTTAAAATCTCATTAGATTTTCTAAAAACTCTCTTGGGAGCTTGTTTTTCGAACTCAGGCATTTGGGGGATTTTGCTCGTTGCCTTCTCACAGCAGCCCAGGCCCATTCGTCAGGCTGCTGGAACAAAAAACACCCCTACACTTTGTTAATTTATGTGTACATTTTGAATATTATATATAAATTTATTGGATAATTTGACCACTATTTTTCATATGTAATTTGATTTTGAATATGTCAATTTAAATTAAAGTAATTTTAAAAAATCATACAATTAAATTAAATTTTAAAAGTAAAATTTTGAATAAATTAATATAATTAAATTAATATTAAAGAAATAATAAAACAAAAAATCAAATACCTTGCGCGACAAAATATTTCGTCGCTCAAACTATAAATTAGTTTATTTTAATTAAAAAATTTTAAAACACAAAAAATATTTCATCGCGCAAATATTTGCTCGACGTTAGTATTCGTCGCGCAAAACTCTAAAAATTTGGACGGGTACCAAAAATGAAATGTGCAAATTTTTTATTTATTTTATAAATTTTTTTAAGACTTTGTGTGACCAATATTTTTCGTCGCGCAAAACTTTGCGCGACCAACGAAAAACCCTTGTCGCGTAAAGTCTTTCTTCACGATCTTTGCGTGACGAAGTTTCTATCGCGCTGAAATTTATGCGACTAAAACGTACTTTGGGCAACGAAATTCTATTCGTCACGCAAATTGTAAAATGTAGTAGTGATTTCTGGCATTCTCTTGGGTTCTCCATCCCAGCACTGTTTCATCACTTTGGCTAGAGAGCTTGGGCATTGCTTGGGTATCTCTGGCCTCAAATTCTGAAGCAACACAAAAGTACAAAAATAATAAGTTTGGGGTCACTCAGACTACATTATAAAAGAAAGAAAGATGGAAAGAGAAATGACATACTTTATAAACAACAGCCGAAGTCAATTCGGAGAATGTGATGTTAGGGTAGGGCATATCGCAGCAATACATCTCCCACAAGCAAATCCCGAAGCTATAAACGTCACATTTTCTGTTGTAGGGTTTACTTTCCAAGACCTGCATCATCATCATCATATCATCCGATCAGAACATTTGGTATTGATCAGATTGCTGCAATTAATATATAATTCGAAGTCTAGGGCGAGCCTTTAAAATCTAAGTAGATTAAAAGAAAGTGAATTAATTGATACCTCAGGGGCCATGTATCCGGGGGTTCCCGTGTAGCCTGTCATCTCTGCTAAATTTGAAGCCTCCAGACGAGCAACTCCAAAGTCTGCTATCTTCACCCTACCATCCTTATCAGTTTCATGCCGAACTCATTTTTAATTGAGTTAGGTGTAAAATGTAAACGGTGTGATACAAGTAATTTTAAGACTTGCTAGCTACTTGTAATTTTTCAATTCAATGTAATTGATATTAGGCGACATCTAATGACATTTATTTTAATTCCAGAGGAAAAAAAATATATATATATTGGAGGATACTAAAAAGTTGAACGTGCAACTTCTTGGCCATCACATATACCTTTATGGACAGAACCGAAGACTCCACGGGCAAACACTTGTTTCACAACAAGTTTCTTTGTATGTATATTCAAAGTTATTGATTTTCTAAAACCAAAACAATATGACAATGTTTGATCATGAACTTGTATTGTTACTTTAAGATTTGTCAAAACGATAGGTTATGGTTGCTTTTAGCATTCTTTTTATCAAAGTGGAACAGGAAGGGCAAATCGATGGCCTCATAAAATCTTACCATGAAAAACCTCCAGAGGAGGAAATCAGGTCCACGAAAGAGTTCCACACTTTGTCATTTAATTCAGCAATCTCAAGCATTTAAATAATACGAAGTGGGTTGAGTTGAGTTTGTTGGCATCTTGAGCTGAACAAGTTGAAACAATCCAACGGAGCATGATATATTATAATTCTAAATTATTAATGGAGACAAAATAATCATGAAAAATGTGCATTTAATATTGGCTCATTTTCCCAAACTTTCCCGTGATGAAGGAAAACAAAACTCAAGTTGAGAGGAAGACTTCACTTTCCCCCATATTCATATGTCAAGCAACCATTTCTCATGCCTGGACTTATCAAACATGGGAAAACAATTAATTTCTCATCCCCAAGCTTCCTTTCCCATGAACCAAATGAGGAGAGTTCCTCCGAAAAGGTACTCAGTGATAACAGAGGCGGACTCAGTATCCATTGGGGCTCCAATACACTAATCACCAAGAAAAATAAAGAAAAAGAAGCAATAACAAATAAAGATAAAAATATATGAGAATAGAGAGAAGAACAAAAAGGAAAAAGTAAAAACTAATAACCATTGTCATACGTAGTATGTATCTTTGTAATGTTAGGATGATCAAGCTTATGCCAAACAGAAATCTCCTGCCTAAAATCTTTTTTCAAAGAAGCTATTTCAGCTTTTCTTCTTTGACCGTCTTCTCCTCACTCCATCACTTTGACTGTATAATCAAGAAAGAAAGAAAATGCCATCAGTGAAGTTTGTGATATAACGCATGTGCGCGCGCGCGCACACACACACACACACATATATATATATATATATATATGGTCTGTCACACCTCGGATCGGCTCCGCCGTAGCACGATATTGTCCGCTTTGGGCCCCTCCCCCATGCCCTCACGGTTTTGTTTCTGGAAACTCAAGAGCAACTTCCCAATGAGTCACTCATCCTGGGATTGCTCTAGTCCAAACTCGCTTAACTTCGGAGTTCCCATGACTCGGAAGCTAGTAAGCTCCCAAAAGGCCTCGTGCTAGATGGATTTGGGCATGTATATATAAGGCACATCACCCCCTCTCAGTTGATCGATGTGGAATGTTACATAGTCAGTGACGTTTGAGAAGATTAAAGATATAAAGCATGTACATATCTTTGTATAAAATATATACCTGCAACTTCTTGGCCATCATATGCCTTTATCTACATAACCGAAGCCTCCACAGGCAAAAACTTGTTTCACGACAAGTTTCTCTGGAATGATTTTCCAGTCTTCTTCTTCATAAACTTCTTTGGCTACCACGGCTCTCACGTTGATGACTTTGTTTCTGCAACTCTTTCTTCTTCTTCACAGAGGACATTTGCTGGAGATGCTCTAACTGTTCGTCCAAACATTTCAAGTCAATCTTGGCTGCCATTTTTGAGTTAATTAGAGGTTTTTGAATTTCTGGTGTGGTTTTGTATATATAGAGTTGAAGGCATGACGAGGGTTTTGTTTTCTAATATGGTAATTCTTCTACTAGCACGCAGAGGGTTGTTTTGCGATCTTTGATTCTCATATATAGACAATCAAATACCATCTTCCTTAATTTATGTTTCAATCCTAGTCTCTTCCTAACACGGAGTGATTATAGAATACTATCATAGTATGGCCACATGGTACATCTTATACACGTGTTATAACATAAGTGGATATTTATTGATACTATTCCCTAAAAGAGGGGAAAATAAACCATGTCGTCCACCCATATTATAACATGTGTACAAAATATACCACGTGATCATACTACCATAATATTCTTTAATTACGGAGATTATTAGGCCAAAAAAATTATTGTTGAAATTTTGAACCTACCACGGCAGTAAAGGACTTGGGCTGGTTCATCTGGTCATCTGGCCCAAATGATAAATTATAAAGATAAACATGAAATCCACTTGTTTTCTTTTTGATATTTTTATCTAAATCTTGTCACATGTGGATTATAGGTTTTATTTTTTATTTTTTGGCTTAAAGATTATAGTAGATTTGAGACCACTATACCTACTAAACCTCACTTTAACTTCAACTCATAAACTAAACATAATAGCTAAACCCTTTAGATTCTAACTTTTTATTTCCTTAACTTCTGACCTTTGAAATTACCCCAACAAAATGGTGATCATAAAGGCATGGATTCTTCCCCTTATCCACTTCGCCACTGTGGGGAGAACATGTCTAGTTGTGCCACGAGGTAACATTCCTATATGCTTCTTTTTGCAGGCTTGAATAGCTAATGACTAAAACCCCTTTAGTTTGATAATTTGCAATATCTGAAGGCAGTGTGTGGAGTAATTTTCTCCCCTTGATAATGATTTCTCTGGATGTGTTTGTCAAGTTTAAATACTTACTCACTTGTGGGATATATCTACAGCAACAAGCATCCTCAAAGGACAGGACAAGGCGTACATCTTAGTCAAAGAGGCTGTAGCATTTTAACTAGAGGGAGGATACCAGTTTGCCCAGGACAAGGCGCACATCTTAGTCATTTACGTTACTGACCATTCTTGGTGAACTAGCATGATGCTTCATCAGTAGGAAAGAAAATTAGGGCTAAAAGTCATGGCGGACTTCTTAAGCTAATGTTCACAATTTACATTGTATGTTAAGGAGTGAAGCTGTCTTTTTGAAGTGATTTCCGTCATTTACTTAATCTCTCTTTTAGTGTGTTTTTGTCCTTATCCTGTCTTTCATTTTCACTTCACTTTAATTTTCACTTGCGTTTGTGCTGATGAAACTTAAATGATAAACATTTTCAATCAATTTTTGTCTTTTCTTTTTGGGATCAAACTGAAATCAGCTTCATTGACTGCTTAAAATACATCCAGCACAATCAGAGAGGACTAGAGGAGTAAATTAGTGGCCTCGTTAAAACCTTGCCATAAAAAATCTCTCGAAAGAGGAAAATCCGGTCAAGGAAAGAGTACCACACTCCTTTCTTTTGTCATTTACGTTGAAATGAGTCTGTTAGCGTCTTGAACCGAAGAAGCTGAAGCAACCCGAAGGAGCACTGTTTGACGTGTTAATTGCCTCTAGCATGGAAACAACCTCCTCCATTTCTGGCCTTCTCTTGGGTTCTCCATCCCAGCACTGTTTCATCACTTTGGCTAGAGAGCTTGGGCATTGCTTGGGTATCTCTGGCCTCAAATTCTGAAGCAACACATAAGTACAAAAATAATAAGTTTGGGGTCACTCAGACTACATTATAAAAGAAAGAAAGATGGAAAGAGAAATGACATACTTTATAAACAACAGCCGAAGTCAATTCGGAGAATGTGATGTTAGGGTAGGGCATATCGCAGCAATACATCTCCCACAAGCAAATCCCGAAGCTATAAACGTCACATTTTCTGTTGTAGGGTTTACTTTCCAAGACCTGCATCATCATCATCATATCATCCAATCAGAACATTTGGTATTGATCAGATTGCTGCAATTAATATATAATTCGAAGTCTAGGGCAAGCCTTTAAAATCTAAGTAGAGAAAAAAAAAGTGAATTAATTGATACCTCAGGGGCCATGTATCCAGGGGTTCCCGTGTAGCCTGTCATCTCTGCTAAATTTGAAGCCTCCAGACGAGCAACTCCAAAGTCTGCTAACTTCACCCTACCATCCTTATCAAGAAGCACATTTTCCGTTTTCACGTCTCTATGAACAATGTTCTTGGAGTGCAAATAACTCAATCTGCATGCGAACACATACATATGTCATTAGTAATAGTATACTTGCATATATAATATATGTTATAAACGTATGTATTACTACACTGTTACTGAGGTGCAGGGAAGATATCAACAAAGACAAATAACGTATGTATGGAAACGAGACATACCCTTTAGCAAGATCAACTGCTAGTCGTTTGACTGTCTTGAGAGGCAACTTCTTTTTTCGGTGTTGGATGAGGAAGGCTTTTAAGGTTCCTCCAGAAAGATACTCAGTAATAACAGAGGCAGAGTCGGTATCCGTTGTGGCTCCAATACACTAATCACCAAGAAAATTAAAGAAAAATAATTAATAACAAACTAAGATAAAAATATTAGTTTGACAGTGGACAGAAGAACGAAATGCAAAAACAAATAACCATTGTCGTAGTACCTTAGTAATGTTAGGATGATCAAGCTTAAGCCAAATAGAAACCTCCTGCCTAAAATCTTTCTTCAAAGAAGCTATTTCACATTTTGTTCGGCGGTCTTCTCCCCACTCCATTACTTTGACTGTATAATCAAGAAAAAAAATAAAAGACACACCTTCAGTGAAGTTTGACAAAATTATGCACACACATATATACACATAAATTTGCGCATGTAAACATAGATATAATTACCGCACCTGCAACTTCTTGTCCATCATAGATGCCTTTATGAACGGACCCGAAGCCTCCACTGGCAAAAACTTGTTTCACGACAAGTTTCTCTCGAATGATCATTTGCCATTCTTCTTGAGGAGCTTCTTTGGCCGCCATGGCTCTCATGTTGATGACTTTGTTGCTTTCTTTGTCATGCAACTCTTTCTTCTTCTTGATAGAGTACAGTCGGTGGAAATTCTCTAACTTTTCGTCCAAACTTTTCACGTCAATCTTGGGTGCCAATGCCATTTCTTTAGTATGAGAGTTGAAGAGGGGTTTGAGTTTGAGTTTGTGGTGTGTTGTAGTTGTGTATATATAGTCGAGCCACAGGCCTCTTCCCTTTCTAATAGTAATCCTTGTAAAATCTGCTTTCATTCACCTAGCATTAGAACTATTTATTTATACAGACCCCAAAAATATCAAAATGGGACCTTTATATTACAATGTCTTCTCGACTAGATCCCTACAACTGAGCCATTTATCACATTTGTGTTCGGCCCATCAATGATGCGTGCAAATCTAAAATTTATTTATTATTTAAGAAGATAATCCAGCCCAAAATTTTGGGGAAAAAAAATTAAAAAAATTTACCACACCATTTGCTGTTTGGATTGGTGCGTCTTATCTTTTTTCCATAAAAATATAAATAAAAAACGTGAATATACATCTTATTTTGTTAATAGGAAAAAAAAATAGTGGAACCATACAACTCACGACATCTCTTGCACCCTTGGCTTAAGGCTTAAGCTTCGCTTCTCACATATCTTGGAAACCCTAATTCCTACTTTCACCAATAAAAGCTCATGTGTTTTGACACTATTTAAACCATCGGTTTAAGTAAGTTTCTGTCCGACACTATTTAACCCATCGACTAGGATTGCATTTGTATGGATTATTGACTGTTTAGAAAATATAAACATTGAGAACAACCCAGCAGCCCAACTTTTAAGACTATTAATTAATTATATTCTCTCTCCCTTCTCTTTGTTTTTTTTTTGGTTTTTTGGGCAATCCTTTTCTTTCATCTTCTATCTTCTTTCTCCTTGTTTATAGCGTCATTGTACAAGAGTTTACACACACACACCCTCAAAACGTTTCCAACGAATTCCCCATTGAAAAGAGTTTGTAGCTTAACTATTTTAAAACACAAAAAATATTTCATCGCGCAAATATTTGCTCGACGTTAGTATTCGTCGCGCAAAACTCTAAAAATTTGGACGGGTACCAAAAATGAAATGTGCAAATTTTTTATTTATTTTATAAATTTTTTAAGACTTTGTGTGACCAATATTTTTCGTCGCGCAAAACTTTGCGCGACCAACGAAAAACCCTTGTCGCGTAAAGTCTTTCTTCACGATCTTTGCGTGACGAAGTTTCTATCGCGCTGAAATTTATGCGACTAAAACGTACTTTGGGCAACGAAATTCTATTCGTCACGCAAATTGTAAAATGTAGTAGTGATTTCTGGCATTCTCTTGGGTTCTCCATCCCAGCACTGTTTCATCACTTTGGCTA